TCTGGTCTCCTGCAGGCCCTCCTGTCTCCTATTGTCTGTCAGGTGCCCCCACCGCAAGCAGCTTGCTATGGGGGCACCCGCTGCTCCGTGTGTCTATTCACACACGGAGCAGTGGCTTGACCCTGCCCCCTCTCTCTCCTCATTGGCTTACTGGCTGTGATTGACACCAGTGGGAGCCAATGGCTCTCGCTTGTTGTCTCATCCAGTGAGGAGGCATAGACTTGTGACAGCTGAGGCTGTCATTCACATCGCTGGATTGCGATGAGGCTCAGGTAAATATTGAGGGGTTGGGGGGGGGGGAGCACCGCTGCACACAGAAGGTTTTTTACCTTCATGCATAGAATGCATGAAGGTAAAAACCTTTCAGCCTTTACAACCACTTTAATAATCAGAAGGAATTGCACTCACAGACAAGGATAAAAACAAAGCGTATAGCACTGTAGTAACTGCCATAATGGATGCCGGTCCCAGGCCTCCAGATGGAAAGATCACTGGGGTCCTGATGACAGGCTGCTCTGGAGGCTCCCAGGGCTTCCTAGCCAGGATGGAACACAGTGTCAAGGCGGGAGTAACGTCACAACCTGATATGATGAACAGATGTGGCGACGTGTTGCGGATCATGTGCTCCTTTTTCAAGTCTTCCATCCGGGATAGGAAGCCCTGGGAACCTCCGGAGCAGCCTGTCAGCAGGACCCCAGTGTTTTTTTTTTCCACCTGGAGGACCGAGACTGGCATCCATGATCGCAGTTACTACAATGCTGCATGCTTTGTTTTTCCCTTGTCTGTGACTGCAATTCCTTCTGATTATTAAACATTTAACTTGACATACTACACTCAGTTGGTGCTTGTCTTCTCTCCCTGTTATACTTCTTGTATTCCCATAGTTGTGATGTGACCAGAATTGACACAGACCCCTTTAATTATCTCTTATGCTATGGAAGTGTGTGTATGTGTGAGACACACACACATACACACACTTGCCAAAAGTATTGGGCCAGCCCTCCAAATCATTGGATTCTGGTGTTCCAATCATCTTCATGGCCACAAGTGTATAAAATCAAGCACCTAGGCATGCAGACTGCTTCTACAAATATTTGTGAAAGAATGGGTCACCCTCAGGAGCTCAGTGAATACAAGCATGGTACCGTGATAGGTTGCCACCTGTTCAATAAGTCCATCCGTGACATTTTCCTGGCTACTAAATATTCCACGGTCAACTGTTAGTGGTATTATAACAAAGTGGAAGAAACTGGGAACAACAGCAACTCAGCCATGAAGTGGTAGGCCACGTAAAATGACAGAGCGGGGTCAGTGCATGCTGAAGTGCGCAGAAGTCACCAACTGTCTGCAGAGTCAATGGCTAAAGACCTCCAAACTTGGTGTGGACTTCAGATTAGCACAACAGTGCATAGAGAGCTTCATGGAATGGGTTTCCATAGCCAAGCAGCTGCATCCAAGCCTTACTTCACAAAGTGCAATGCAAAGCGTCAGATGCAGTGGTGTAAAGCACGCTGCCACTGAACTCTAGAGCAGTGGAGATGTGTTCTCTGGAGTGGCGAATCACGGTTCTTTGGCAATCCAATGGACATGTTTGGTGGTCGCCAGAAAAAACGGTACTTGCCTGACTTTATTGTGCCAAGTGTAAAGTTGGGTGGAGGAGGGATTATGGTGTGGGGTTGTTTTTCAGGGTTTGGGCTTGGCCCCTTAGTTCCAGTGAAGGGAACTCCTAAGGCGTCGGCATACCAAGACATTTTGGGCAATTTCATGCTCCCAACTTTGTGGGAACAGTTTGGGGATGGCCCCTTTCTGTTCCAACATGACTGCACACCAGTGCACAAAGCAAGGTCCGTAAAGACATGGATGAGTGAGTTTGGGGTGGAGGAACTTGACTGGCCTGCATAGAGTCCTGACCTCAACCCGATAGAACACCTTTGGGATGAATTATAGTGGAGACTGTGAGCCAGACCTTCTCGTCCGACATCAGTGCCTGACCTCATAAATAAGCTTTTGGAAGAATGGTCAAACATTCCCATAGACACTCCTAAACCTTGTGGACAGCCTTCCCAGAAGAGTTGAAGCTGTTATAGCTGCAAATGGCAGGCCAACTCAATACTGAACCCTACGGACTAAAATTAAAGTTCATGGTCATGTAAAGGCAGGCGTCCAAATACTTTTGGCAATATAGTATGTATGTGTGTGTCTATATATTCAGTTATTTCCTTCCCCACATTACTTCCCAGGTCCCAAAATATATGTTGGATGCTGTGAATGACATTATACTGTATATAATATATACTATTTATGTAAATAAAAAAAAAGTGTGTGTATAATAAAAATAAAACGTGTGATAAAAAAAAAATTAAAGTGTGAACAATATTAATACCACGTGTACACTGCGTCTAACATACATGTTGGATGCTGTGGATGACAAATGCTCACATACGTGAGAACAATGTTTTTAGCTATTGCATATCCATGAAAGTGTCACCATTGTGCTAATCTGGGTTCAGGCAAATCCAGCTTTTGTCACAGTGTATTGTCAAACAGAGAAAAGGCCTATTTGAAATTACAATGTAAACATTTATTTTCAGCTTTACCTCGTCATTGTGTTACATAAATGAATCACAGATATCTTGAGGACATGCGTGAATTGTGTAAAAGATTTTGTCGTGAAAGTTTTTTTTAAAATTGCATTTTTGTGTAAATTTTCCCAATTTTTTATAATCATATAAAGGGGTTATATGAGGGGCTCTGGGACAGAAATGACCCCCCTCTCTTCCACCCCTCTCTAACTGATCCCTTTAAAACAAACAAAAAAAAAAAAATAGCTAAAAGCCCTGATTAACTTATCCTGTAGCCTCGATCACTTGACAGACTTGGCCATAGTCTTCCCCTCCGCTGTTTACGTCCAGGAAGGGTCCTTCTTCAAGCATTAGTCCTCATGCACACTGGATGTTTTTACAGCTGCTGTTTGTGGCTTCTGTCCTAAAATCCCCAGCATGTTATCCTATGTGCCCATGCACACATAGGCTTTGATCAGCGTTTTTTTGGCTGGAAAAAAACCCAGAACTAGTAAATTTTTTTTTTTTTTTTTTTGAGGAGTTTTCTTTCTGTAAAAACTCTAACGGTGGTAAAAAAAATTCTAAAGTGAAAAATGCTGCTAAACACTAATGCAAAAACACTAAATGCTGTAAAACTCTTGACTTTACACAGCTACCGCTACCAGCATTATTAAAACGCCCAGTGTGCATGAAGCCTTAACGCTACTGCCCATGAGATGTGAACGCTTCCTATTGGATAGCCACATGCAGGTCCTTCTCAGGAGAGAGAAGAGGACAACGTCATCACAGGGGAACAGTGTTCTTTGGGCACCATTGTGGCACTGGAAAGTTTTCAGCTGCTCCTAGTCGCGTTTGGCATTTTTTTCCGCTACCGTTAAACTCCCCTTCATGTTTGCCTATGTGTCCATGCACACATAGGCATTTAGAGGCAGCAAAAAAAAAACAACACTGCCAGTGCGTCCAGGAGCAGTGACTTTTTGGCTGAAAAAATGCTGGACGCCTATAAATGCATCTAAATGCGCATTAATTCATTTCGGCGGCCAGAATAAATTATTTTGGCCATTGTATGGAATTAACGTTTCAAGTGCTTGACCCGCCTAAATGCATTATGTGCTTTTACAAGTGTCGAGTTTTGTCTGCCAAAACGCTGCTGCCAGGTGGAAAGGCTTCTAGGAGAGTTGGCAAAATATCCAGTGTGCATGAGGCCTTATTAGTTACATTGTTATTTTCTAGCCCTGTGCACTACAGAACACCTCCCCCTATGTTATGGGGAAGAGTTTTGAGGTCTTGTTCTAGAGCAGAAGTTTCAAACTGGCGGCCCTCCAGCTGTCGCAAAAACTACAAGTCCCATCATGCCTCTACCTTTCAGAGTCGTGCTTGTAACTGTCAATCTTGCAATGCCTCATGGGACTTGTAGTTTGACAACAGCTGGAGGGCCACCAGTTTGACACCCGTGTACTAGAGTGACAACGCTGCTTCTCCACAGATACAGCACAGCGAGCCTTGTCAATCTAAGAGAGGAAGTGTGGAAGGCTGGATCACCAGATAAAAAAAAAAAAGTCTTAAAAAAAAAAAACAAATGTAGCCACATCTAAGAACTGGTAAGGTGCAGTATGAATTGTAATTTTGTTTTTTTTGTTTTTTATAAAGAAAACTTGATAAAATATATAAACTGACATTTTTGGCTTCTTCCTACGTATCTGGCTGCTGCTGCTGGCTTCAGTGTTGTCTGAGGGACACATATTGAAAGAGCATATAATTCTAGGTCAGTGACTTGTCCTTTTATACCTTCTGCATCTTTTTCAGAGTAAGGAAAAGGTTTTGAATGCAGCTGTTCTTTGAGAATAGTGTTCATAATGTTAAAAGAGAAGTTATGGCCAAAGTTTTTTGGCAATACTTCCCTTGTGGGTCACAGGAGTGCACTTACCTTTGCACTCCGGTGACCCAGAGTCAGCTGACAACCGGCAGTTGACTTGGCAGAGCCGCTCCAGGCTCTAGAAGGATCCCAGCAATATTGTCAGGATCCACGCAGCTGTCTGACAGCTGGCTTCACCTCCTAAGCACCAAGCTGAAAGCCAGAGCCAGTCGTGCTTGCCCACTCCCCAGCTCTGGCACTCTAGTGGGCACTGGAGGAGCAGTGAATGACAGTCACTGCTCTCCTCTCTGAGCAGACCAAGAGCTCTGGTTATGTGATCACTCAGTTCTCAGGCTTAGAGCTGACGTGGGACTCCTTTTTAAGTCCTGTACCTTATAAATTGTAATTATTCTGCATAATTCTGACATTTCAAACTTTTTTGTGTGTGTTTTTGTATGTATACATGTATGTATATGCTGTGTGTGTGTGTGTGTGTGTGTGTGTGTGTGTATATATATGTGTATGTATATATATATATATATATATTATATTATATATCTATTCTATCTATTCATGTTTATGAAATGTCCTACTTTGTTGGCTTCTGTACACAGGAATACTCAGAAGACAGTAACTCTGAACCCAACGTTGATCTGGAAAACCAGTACTACAACTCCAAAGCACTGAAGGAAGATGATCCCAAGGCAGCTCTCAGCAGTTTCCAGAAGGTAGGAGAAGGCTTCTTCTCTTTACTGAATAATAGCAACTGATAAAAACTTTAAATGTTTTTATCCTTTCCCTCCTTTATATAAATTATTTTCTGGTCTGTGGCTCTGTAAGACTTCATTCACTTGTGCAGCTAGGGGGCGGTAGAACTGAGCTTGGGCATGCAGCCACTCAGGGATGTGCACATGCAGCGGCCTTGATATTCTGTTTTGCGGCTGCAGCAAAAATGAAAAAGCATGTCGCATTTGTTGCGCTTTACGGCTGCCGAACACAATGCAATGCTAAGGGCCGTGCCACTGATTCATGAATGCACACAGTTACAGGGCAGTAGTGAGGCATTTACATGGTTAAATTGGGTGCCTCCTCACTGGCTGCCAGATGCCCTTTAAAGAGGAATCTAATGTGGATCATTCTTCAGAGGGCACTGCACATGTAAACGAGCCTTAAAGGATAAGTTCACCTTCTGTTACGTTACCCCCATATTCAGGGTGTAACATGTAGCATGTTATGAACGTACCAGCCCCCGCACCCCCAACCCGATTCCCCATTGTGACAGCTAGCAGGGGAACTTCTACTCCCGCTAGCTGTCACAATTTTAAAAACGCGGGGCAGGCAGACTCACTCATTCACAGTGTCTGTGTCTCTGCTTTTGTGCTGTGGGCTTGTAGTTCTCAGTGAACTATCACGGCACTGTTCAGCACTGTGGTAGTTCATTGATTCTTCCGGTCAGAATGATACCAGCGCACAGATACACAGACTGGTCTGCAGGAGATCTGCATGGCACCAGGGATCTCTTGATTGCTGGTGCAATGCTTTACAGGCTCCTAAAACAAAAATATAGTAAATGCACATTATTTTACCTGCAAAAAAATTGTGCATTTATTATTTTTTGTCAAAAGGTGAACTTAACCTTTAGGAGAAGTTTCCCCTCACTTCCTACATTGGAAAGCTGAGGAGGAGAGAAGAGTAGTATATTATCTTCCCCTTTGTTGGGCATGCAGTATTCTAGGGCGAACAGCGTTTTTGGTACTACATAATCGGAAGGCAGAGAAAACAATTCATATTGGTGAATTTTAAGCTTTTTTTCATAAATAATATTGATAGTTGTGTAGATTATAACAGGTAAGCATAACCATTGTTTATACATTAAAGGAATAAGTTATTTTTTGCTTCAGGTATGTTTAAAAACAAAAAAAAAAAATAGATAGTACATTGCCACACCTAGAATAAATATGTATATGAAAAACATAGGCATTCAGTCGAGAGTATGTTTTGAAACACAAGACTGTTATTAACAAATATGGTCACAGTGGTGGTGCTGTTTGCTGAACACATCCACTCTAGCCACTGATCACTATCATTTAACAGTGCAAACTTAAAGAATGGTGCTTTATCATAAAAATCCATCTGTCTTTCTTTTGGTTTAGAGGCTGTGCAGCGTGAGCAAGCACACTGGCTTCCTGATACATAATGCAGTCTGTTAGAGGAATAACTGTTAGAGGGTAACCCTTACCTAGACTTAGTTGTCCAAAGCAGGCCATAGATGGATCAAAATTCGGCCAGTTCAGCAGGACCTGGGACCCAGGACCACAAACCAACTCAACAAACGATGATTGATTTCTTCCAAACGGGAATATTGAAAATTTGTCTGCTGCGTTGATCAGTGTATACTGACTGAATACAATGGCACAGCAGGGAGGATCCCTCTGTCCACCTCACTTGTGTGGATGGGGGAATCTGTTTGTTCCCCCATCTGATAAAGATAGATATTTCCTCTACCATTCCATAACTTTCTCAAAGAGTTGGCATTGTGGTAAACTTTGTCTTTCTTTTATCTTCATTTTTAGGTTTTGGAACTGGAAGGTGAAAAGGGAGAATGGGGATTCAAAGCATTAAAACAGATGATCAAAATAAACTTCAAACTGGTAATTCGTTTTTTAGTACATCCATTGTATTAACCTTTTGATGAATAACTCAGTTTTGTGACAGGTACAGGTGTACTTTAGTGGAGAAACTGCACACTTTGTATTTACTTTTATTTCTGTGCGTGTTTTTTTTACAGGGTAATTATCCTGAAATGATGAACAGATATAAACAATTGTTAACCTACATTCGCAGTGCTGTCACCAGGAATTACTCTGAGAAATCCATCAACTCGATTCTAGATTACATCTCCACATCGAAGCAGGTCTGGATACCAGTGAGAGTGTTTTGCGGTAACATTAGTCCTTAGCTTAAAGATTCTCGTAATAATATTTTTCATTTAAAGCTGAACTCCAGGCAAATGGCTAAATGCACAGTTGAAGTAAACTTACGGAAGCTCTTTGCCAAAGAGTTTGTAATTCTGTCACTCCAATCCCAAGTTTTACATGGCCCTGCCAGAATGTACAGCCAGGCTGGTGAGCTGATCTTTCTTTATTGCAGTAAAGCATTACTACTAGGTCACTTTCTTCTTCCTAGGCTGTGAATGAGCAGCAACAGACTGATGAGACATTCTCTCTGCTCTCTTCTCCTGTCACAGAGTTGCTTGTCCACGCATGTTGATGCACCACATATGAATGGTGTTGCTCCTTCTACTCCTGATGCTGCTGGATGAGCGCTTGAAAATTCAAGTACTTAAACTGTGTTTAACAACTGTTAGTGGTATTGTAACAAGGTAGAAGCAACTGGGAAGAGCAGCAACTCAGCCATGAAGTGGTAGGCCACGTAAAATGACAGAGCGGGGTCAGCACATAGTGAAACAACAACAGTGCATAGAGAGCTGCATGGAATTGGTTTCCATGAGAAGCTGCATCCAAGTCTTACATCACCAAGTACAATGCAAAGCATCGGATGCAGTGGTGTAAAGCACGCCGCTACTGGACTCTAGAGCAGTAGAGATGTGTTCTCTGGAGTGATGAATCCTGCTTCTCTGTCTAGCAATCTGATGGAAGTGTCTGGGTTGCTAGGAGAAAACAGTATTTGACTGACTGCATTGTGCCAAGTGTAAAGTTTGATGGAGGGGGGATTATGGTGTGGGGATTTTTTTCAGGGGTTGGGCTTAGTTCCCTTAAACCCGATAGAACACCTTTGGAATGAATTAGAGCGGAGACTGTGAGCCAGGCCTTCACATCCGACATCACGAATGCACTTCTGGAAGAATGGTCAAACATTCCCATAGACATACTCCTAAGCGTGTGTGGACAGCCTTCCCAAAAGAGTTGAAGCTGTTATACCTGCAAAGGGCGGGCCAACTCAATATTGAACCCTACGGACTAAGACTGGGATGCCGTTAAAAGTTAATGTGCGTGTTAAGGCAGGCATCCCAATACACATATAATGTGTGTATTATATTTATTTTTCTTAGCAGAAACCCTAGAAGATAAAAAGGCAGTTGTTGCAATTTTTTATACAACACAGTATTTGCACAGCAATTTTTCAAATTTTTTGGGGGAAAATACTTTAATGAATTTAAATGAAAAAAACAAGATCTAAACCAATTTTTGGTCAAATATAAAAGATGATTTTATGCCAAGAAAATAGATGCCCACCGTGTCACACTTTAAAATTTGCATGCTCGTGGAAAGGTGCTAAACTACAGTAAAAAATCTCCATAGGTGACGCTTTAAAAATTTTTAGAGGTTACCATTTTAGATTTCCGGAAGGTCTAGCACTAGAATTATTGCTCTCGCTATAACGTACACTGTGATACCTCACGTTTGGTGCGAACACCGCTTACATATGCAGGCGCCACCTATGTATGCATTCGCTTCTGCATTTAAGCACGAGGGGACAGGGGCACTTTAAATTTTTATTTTATATTTATTTTTACACTGTCCCTTTTTTTTTTTTCTTTTTTTTTAATCACTTTTTTTTATTCATATCACAAGAAATGTAAACATTCTTGTAATAGAAGTAAGGGAAGACGGGTACTCTTTATGGAGGTCTATAAGTTCCCAGATATCTCCTGTACCCTGGAAAGCATGAGATATTATAACAAAAAATTGATCTCCGCTTTCCAGGGAAAAAAAAATGGCAGGGTTTACATCTTCCAGAGCCAGTAGTGATGTCATGACATCATTTCCAGACTTCCAGGATCATAGAGATAGCCAGGGAGCATCTGGTGCTTGGCCAGCTATGTGGTAACCTGACGCCCACACTGGATAGGATCTCGGGCTCCCCAGTCACACTGAAGAGCCCAGAGAGGTGCCAGCAGGAGAGCTGAAAAAACCAGCCAGTGGCTAATCCTCTGCTAGGATGGCTTTTACACAAGAGGGAATTGCCAGCTGAAAATATATCAGCTGCAGACGTCGTCCAGATACTGCCTTTTTTTTTTTTTCAAATTCTCTTTAATAAGATAGCGCCTATTTTAAGTCTAGGACGTCATGTGATGTTTTACAGAAGGGAAATGGTTAAATATCCTTTAGACGTCTTAAAAAATACATAACTGCATTCATAGATTTTTTTTTTTTTTTTTAGATGGAGTTCAGCTTTAAAGCTGATGATTAATCTGTTTCTATTTTACCTTTTCTGGATTCTCCTTACCCCCTCATTAACATGTTAATAACATTTTGGTTAACCTCCCTGGCGGTATGATTATTTCAGATTTTTGGTGCTGAAAGCGGTACCATTATTTTGCATGGAAATATGTATTTTTTTTTTTATTGTAGGCTGTAATTTTTAGGAATAACTCACTGAAATCTGTCCGAACAAGAGTCTAGTAAACATCCCGGGTATAATAAAATTTGAAACACGAAATCATAAATTATAATTTAATAAATAATCATAAAAAATAATAATAATACATTTAATTCAATAATATAATCAAACCAAAAACACTGAAATTTGAAATAGAGCGCCAAGTTCGCACATCACTGAGCAAAGTCGCAAAATCGTTTTCAGTGTCTGGTGATGAATTTCCCCACGAATCATCACTCAATTCTGCAAGTGGTTCTGATTTACTATCGCTGTTCTCTAGCCGGTCTAAAACCACTTTTGACCTAAAGGGACGCTTTTTGGACGCCATGGATGTTTGTCAGTTTCCAGGCAGAAAGAACAGACAAAATGCAGACAGGGCACAGGACAAAGCACTAGAGACAAAATGTATGTGAAATGGGTTTAAACAGCAATGTTTTACTATGTAAAATTTGTTTGTAAAAAAATGACATTTTTTTTAAATTTTCAAATTTCCCGCCTGCGCCCGTACGTTCCGACGTCACAGGGACTGGAACACGGAAGCCAGATGTCGGCATCAGCCGGAGGAGATGGCCGGGGACGCTGCAGGGGACACATCGCGGGAGCGCAGGACAAGGTAAGCTCTGCAGGGACTCCATATGCAGCGCCGCATGGTAAGCCCGAGTGTAGCTTGGGGTTACCGCTTCTGGTACAGACATTTTACCCCGAGCTACACTCGGGAATACCGCTAGGGAGGTTAAAAACGTCCATTTTTACTACACACCTTATTTTAGACCTAGCAACGTCATTACTGGTTTTCTATAGGTAGAAATGTAGACTAACTAGTAGTATAATTAGCCAGTTATATTTTCATTATAACTGATATAAAGGGGCTTTTTACATTAAAGCAAAGTTTTGATCCTTTATTGTAAATAAATATATAACATTATTTTCTACATAAATATTAGTGCCCAAATGAGTTTTATAGTGGAGGGCATTTTTTCCTCAGAGGTTCAGGGACAGCAGCAGAGTTCTAGCGTTTCTAAACACTTTTGGAGAACTCTCTGATCTAAGTAGACATTTCCATTAGTGTGGTTACTCCTCTTTGATTTAAAAACGTTCCGGCATCTGTACTGGGACAGCGTTTTCTTTCCCTAATTTTACTTCAAGGTTTACATCTTTGTTTCAGGCTTCTTGAAAGGAGGCTAAATATTGGCAGTTAGAACTCTTCATTAGTATGACACAAAAGGCATGGTTTTGTTTATCTGCTACAGACTAAAAACTTAAAACCGAACTCCAGACAAATATAAAAACAATACTGTGCATTCAGTTCTGTATTTATTTAAAAAAAGAAAAAAAAAAAGGTTTACATTTTTTGTAGATAAAATTGACATGAGTATCTGAATAATGCTTACCTGTAGGCAAGTCCAGGAGCTGGTTGTACTGTCTGGCAGGGTTGTCTGGATTGGTAAAACTGGTGGTAAAGAACTAATACTTTAGGTAAAAGGGCTCAGCTTTGACACTATATATTTAGTTGTTTGGTTGGAGTTCAGCTTTAAAGCCAAATTAAACCCATCCATGCGCATTTCCTCCAGCTATGAAACGTCTGCGAGCTCTCCTGCTGGAGCCAATGTCTACTTCCCTGCTTCTGGGTTGGAGTTCTTCGACAATCCTGCTTGGCCAGTTTAATGTACCCTGGAAGTTAATTTGTTCTGGCATTGTGGAGTGCGAAGAATGTATACTAAGCTGCACATCTACAGCTCAGTGTACATTCTAAAGCATCTTGCAAAGAAGAAGGTAAAAAGGCCTCATTCACACTTTTTTTTTTTTTTTTCTTTTGTGGCTGTTTATGTCCATTTTTATCAAATTTTTGGAGCGGCACCATTCATTTCAATGTGCCACCCTTCGTTTCAAAAGCACGCTAAAGAAGCTTATGTACTAATATTTTGGACATGAGCAAAGTTTGTGTTTTTTTGGGTTTTTTTTTTTTTTTTTTTTTTTTTTTTTTGCGTGTTTTTCACATGGAAATGATGCAACTTCTACCTGCCCTTGGGGTGTCTTTAAGAAATAGTAGCGCCACAAGCACACGACCGCTACGACCATGTGCGAACTGGGCAAATATCTCTTCTGCAATAAAAATCTTCATGCTCATGACTTTTTAAAAATAACATAACTCCTATGCATGAGAGTTAATTCCAGCACCAATGTGTGCCACAAAATCTATACTGAGCTGTGCATGCACAGCTCAGTGTACAGTCTAAAGATGTTCGCCAACAAGACAGTAAGACTGAACATACGTTATACAATTTTATTGTACAATTTTCCTTTAGACTTGCCAAAACTATATAATATGAAGTCAAACCTCAACACTTTTTCAGTTTTTATGCAATCAGGCAGGCCAATGCACTATATGGTTGGAGACAAATATGAAGGAAATTGAACAAGAAAATGGTATAATATATGGCCACCTTTTAGTTTTGTCGATGAGACGTAGCAATAAAGAGCCTTTCTGCTTGAAATTTTTTATTTTCACTTCGGTTTTCATTTTACCTGAAACGTGAGACATTACTTTAGAATGCTTTTGAGTGGTTTTCAGTTACTGCTTAAACTTTTATAATAACAGGCATACCAGCTGTGTTTTATCCCCTGAAACAACAATCTAACGTAGGTACAGGCATCTTCACCCCCCAACTTCTTCAAGGTTCTGGTCTTTGACCATCTTGATGGTACAATCTAGGAAAATGCCAGCACACAGGGACCATACCGGCAATGTAAATTGAGTTGCCTAAGTGCAGCTCGGTTTACTTGGCACAAAAGACTGTGAGCAGGCAGGTGGGTTTATTTTATTGCAGAAGACACATTGGGGTTGATTTACTAAAAACTGAAGACTGCAAAATGTGTTGCAGCTGTGCATGGCAGCCAGTCGGCTTCTAACTTCAGCTTGTTCAATTAAGCTTTGACAAAAAAACCTGGAAGCCGATTAGTTTCTATGCAGAGCTGCACCAGATTTTTGCACTTTCCAGTTTTAGTAGATCAAGCTATGTCAAGAGACATGACATTGCATGTCTCTTGCAGTAAATGGCCTGCCTGCTTGCAAGCTTTGTAATGATAAGTGAATCATAAATAAACTTCATTGCTTTAGAAACAGCTCTCTTTCCATATTGCCAGATGGACCTTCTGCAAGAGTTTTATGAAACAACACTTGAAGCTCTGAAGGATGCAAAGAATGATCGGTTATGGTTTAAAACAAACACAAAGGTAAGTTGTGCATTTTGTTGTAAAGGGTTTTTTTTTTTTTTTAAAAAAAAAAAAAGTACACCATGGCCTTCCTAAAGACAATTTTCCAAAATATTATATGTGCATTTAATATATTTTACGCATGTCATGTACTTGTAAAAACCTCCCTTGTGAGGCCACTCAGAGCAGTCACAATTGTAAACAATGGCATCATGAATGGATGCCAAACACAGTTAAAAAGATTGCTTGTACTGAGACCATCACTCTAATAAGCAATTATAATGTTAAAAAAAAAAAAGAGACCTCTTTTGTTCTTCCTTTCTATATAGCCTTCTGTGCCTCCTGACCTGTGAACAAGGTCTTTCCTGGGGGCAGCTATGTACTAGTAGGCTAAGTTTGCTTGACTTATAGGAATTAGGACTGCTATTGGTGTCGCTACACTAAGCTATATACCCTGACTGCTCATAGAGAGGCGGCCATTACAATACATTGGTTTTGATACAATTGGTTGATTTGTGTGATGCACAAGACACAATGTCCAATATATAATCAGTCCAAAAAGTGTGGTATCGCCATACTTAAGGGGGGTAGCAGAATGTGTTTTGAGTTGTAATTCTATGTATGCCCATACTGTGTGAGGAATATCTTATTAAATTAACAACTTTGTGCAAAAAAAATAATTTTCATTCTGCATTTTCCACAAACTTGTGGCAAAAAATATGAAGTCTTCAAAAAACTTACCAAGCCTCTTAGAAAATACCTTGGGGTGTTTGTTTTACAAAATGTGGTAATTTTGTGGGTATTTCCACTGTCCTGGTGCTCCAGGGCCTCCACAAATGTGATGGGTATCCAGGAAATTAAATGCCTTATTTATGCTCCTTTAAAGCCCAAAGGTGCTGCTTGGATTGTGAACCTCTCTATGTGGCTAGGGTGTTAAAGTCTCATGCATGTGGTATTGCCATACTCAGGAGGAGTAGCAGAATGTGTTGTGGTGTGTAATTCTTAGTATACCTATGATGTGTGCTAGAAATGTCTTATTAATTGTCTTAAATGTCTTATTAAATTTTTGTGTTATAAAAACAAAATCAGTTTTATATTCTCTGTTTTTTTTTTTTAAAAACTTGTGGCAAAAAAACATTTTCAAAAGGCTCACTATGCCTTTCAGAAAATACCTTGGAGTGTTTTCTTTACAAAATGTGATCATTTTGTGGATGTTTCCACTGACCTGGTGTTCCAGGGCCTCCAAAAATGTGATACGTAGTCAGGAAATGATGCATAATTTATGCTCTTTAAAAGCCCAAAGGTGCTGCTTGGATTTTGGACCCCTCTATGCGTCTAAGCTATGAAAGTCTCACACATGGTATCCCTATATTTGGGAGGCATAGCAGAATATTTTGTGGTGTAATCATAAGTAGTCTTATGCTGAGTGTGAGAAATAATTTGCTAAAATGACAACTTTGTGAAAAAAAAATTAAAATATTTAATTTCTTCAATTTCCACATTTTATTTCTGTGTTTTTCCACAAAATTGTGACAACAAAGTACACCTTGTAAAACTCACCATGCCTCTTACTGAATGCCTTGGACTGTCTACTTTCCAAAAGGGGTCATTTTGGGGGGTATTTCTACTGACCTGGCAGTTTAGGGCCTCAAGAAATAAGATAGGCAGTCAATGCATCAGGATTGATCAATTTTCAAATATATATATACCATAGTTTGTAGACTCTAAATCTCACACACTGACTAACATACACTGATTTGGGGTTATTTGTGCCAAAGAAATTAGCATAATACATTTTGGCCTAAATTTATGAACAAAGATTTGCAAAATTTATAACAAACTAAGAAAAACGTGTTTTTTTTTTTTTTCATAATTTTTTTTTTGTTTATACACCAAAAAATAAAATCCAACACCCATTAAATACAACAAAAAGAAAGCCCTACCTGTCCTAAAAATATGATAAAACTTTCATTTGGGTACAGTGTTGCATGACTGAGTAATTATTCAGATTGTAACAGCCCTGAAAACTGAAAAATGGCCTGTTTTTATTGTTTTAAGTGCTAGTTTAGTTGCAGTTCCAGAGCTCTAGAAAAGCAATCCCTAGTGGCGTAGAAAAAAATCTCAACCCCTACACACGCTTGATTAGGAGGACCTCTGCTCTTTGTGGATGCAACAGTCTCTCTGCAGCCATCTGATAAGACCCCCTTAACCCCTATGAGCCAGTGCTTGAGGTCCTCAATAGCAGGAAGAAAGGGCTTCCCCTAATTGGGGACTACTAGGTCTGACTCAGCAGGGGGTACATAAACACAACATCAAGTCATTTGACCTTTTTGTCTTCTCAAAAAGTTAATTTAATAAATAAACATGATAAAAATTGTATTCTTTCTTTCTCTCTTTTTTGATTTGGTTTAGCTCTGAATAGCCTGATATTTCAGATTTTACTAAGAGCTAATAGGTATCTGGTAAATGTCCACTTTCGTAATTCTACAGATCATCTGGTGTATGGCCTGCTTTAGAATACATTTTTACTTTGGATTGTGTCTTTGCTACCAATATTTGACCTCCTAGTAGGCTTGTGAAACAAAGTTTGTTGTTTGGCTATGGCAGTAATATTAACCCCTTCATGACAGAGGGTAAAACCAAATGTTTTTTCAGGACAAATTTGGCATTTGATTTGATTTCCCAGCAGGAGCAAATTTTTTTCCAGCAGGAGCAAATTGGATCATGCTTTGCTGGGTTTTTTTCTGCCTTCCTCTGGAACTGTAGGTATAGGATTATAACTTTTTTTTTTTTCTACGGTTGAACTGGATGGACTTTTTGTCTTTTTTCAGCCAGACTATGTAAAACTAAATCGGAAGGGTTAATGCCAAACTCGGTTTTTTGTTTGTTTTGTATTTGTTTTTAATTTAGAAAAGGAAAACTGACCTAAAATGGTAAAAAAAAATATTTCTTTTAAATTTAGTTGTATTTTTCTTTCTAATATCATAACCAACCAAAAAGAACAACCCAAAACAAATTCTCCTTACGATTGCAGCGAAACCACATATGTGTATGTTATTTGTTGTTTCTTTACACACTTTTGTCTATTTACAGTTTTCTTGTTTAGCAAGGAGAGCAAAATGCAGTGTATTTTGTCTCCATTCAAAAGAGAAGGCATAAATAGGGGCAGACTTTAGAGTGATTGATAGCTGTGATAGCCAATCAGAGGCTCGTGTGATCAGAAATTGAGCTTTCTGGTTCCCAAACGATAGTATGAGATCCGTACACATATATGAGGCCTCGTGGAAGAAGGCCTACTTCGGTGAAGCCACATTTATGTGTACACACAGCAGGAAGGGGTTAAAGTTTAGAAAATAAAGTAACACCAGAGGATTCTCTTTTCTAGCTCGGCAAGTTATATTTAGAAAGAGAAGAATTTGGAAAATTACAGAAGATTTTACGCCAGCTACACCAATCTTGTCAGGTAACATCTCTGTCTTTATTATAATATTAAGTGTGTGTGTGTGTGTGTGTGTGTGTGTGTGTGTGTGTGTGTGTAAATGAAAAAAGTTAAACATTTTACTCCAGTTTTTGTCCTCCCTACAAGAAATCATTAAAGTAGTATTCCAGGATAAACCTAACTAGTCTTATAAATGCCATCACCACACCCCTCTTCTTTCCTAACACCTAAGCTGACTAACCTGTGTAAGAAAAATGTGTACTTGCCTATTTTCAGCCTGCTACAGTCTGGTCATTTGATCCCCTGTGTTAGCAAGCTGCAGGGCAGAGGACGCAATGCTTGTCAATGGCTGGGAAAGCCAGGAGCAGTGACGTCACCCATAGGCTCCTATGGCCCATCTGTTCCCTCCTGTCCCCTGTAGTCTCCGCTGACTGACACAGGGGAGCCATTACGTGACCAGACCACAGCGGGCAAAAAATAGGTAAATTATATATATGGTGTGAAAATTCAATATGGGGGCAAGTCAGCGCTTAGAGGTACAGGCAGCTAGCAGCAGGGTAAATATACAAACCCTTAGTGTAAATCATAAACAAATGTTGCAGCACTTCATGCGAACAATCATATAGAAGCAAAGGATTATAAATCAAATACATTGCTTAAACAGTAATTATAACTCCTCTTTGTGCACACAAAAAAATTAAACCAATAAAGCAAATTCCAGTCCATGATCTGTGTCTTAATAATACTTTGGTGTCTTCCACCTTGATAAAGTGACTTTACCACGTGCAGTTCTAACCATTGGTGCCACTACTCCTCCACCTATATGAACTCATCAGTCAATAACTTGCAGGTAAACACAGCAGAGACAACATGTGATAAACTGTAAATCGGGGGTCAGCAACCAGTAGATCAGAATCTACCAATTGATCGTGGCCAGGTGACTGGTAGATCGTGGTCTGTGCTTGCTGACTTGCCATCCCAGAGCATCCAACAGAGTGCAATGCAGAGAAACTACTTGTAAAGTTGGGCCTGTAGTTGGCAGCAAGAGCTGCATAAGCTGATGCCTTGTCTGTAGTGCTGGCTCTTGACCCATGCAGAGTGATACCAACTGCACTCCACCTCTTATAGGTCTCCAAAGTGGTGCCAGCAGCAGAAAAGAAGAGATCTTCAGGTCAGTGTCAAGCAATACACTGGGCTTAATAGTAAAGGGCTGTTTTCAGACTGCTGCACTGCGGTTTACCCACACCGCAGATGCACTGCAGTGTACTTGTACCATTCCTGTTGGTTTTCTGCGCTTACCACTTGCCAAGCATGACCCATTCAAGTGAATGAGGCCACTCTGCTGTACTGCACAAAGTTGCAAGTCACTTGCAAACAATGGGTTAAAGCAGGCAGCGTTGTGTTTTGCTTTCTCACCACCTGCTTTAACCCCCTGGACCCCACAGAAGCAGGCAGTTGCAGGGCTTTTGTAGAGTGGCACCATTTACTTGAATGGGTTGCGATTGGCAAGCAGTAGCACCCACCAAAAGCAACAGGGGGTTTCATTTCTGCTGCGGCACATGTACACCTTTGACTGCTGCATCAGCAGCTAAAGGAGGTAGGGATTGGGGTGGTAAAACCTTGACTCAACCGCAGGGTTTTACTACCTTCCAAATTACATGTGAACAAGTCCTAAGGGTGGCGCTGCTGAATGCAACTAAGAGCTTATTCACAAGTGCAGCAGGCACAGCTGCTCCACTGAAAAGCGATCTGAGTGTGTTTGACGGATAGTGAGGAGGCGTTATTTTGCCGCCTCCTCTACTTGATTTAAACTCATGATTGCTATGCATTGTACACAATTGCAACAATTGCAACAAAGTAGTACGGCAATTAGACGTTTAATTTAGGTGTGAGGAGGTGACAATGTGCCGGTGATTTTTGACTTCTCCCGGGTTGTTCAGGTAGATCTCCGCCTCCTTGAAGGTTGCCTACCCCTGCTGTAAATCTACTCCAAGCTCGCTATTGCAATCACCAGCAGTTTTCATTCCTCACCACCAGGGGTCACCATCTGGGCAGGGTGCTGTATAGAAAATAGTTCACCACACAGGTGAACTAGATACCATACCATGGAAAGATACCATCTATTGTATAGTATTTATTAAATTACAGTCAGATAAATCCTAAAATTCCACAGAAATGCAGAAGTCAGATCCAGCATTGACAAAAAGACAGAGAATCGACCGAACTCACAGGTATGGTCGACGTCCAAAATAAACAGAAATGGCTGCTTGCTGTCAGCACATCAGTAAATCCAGATGTGCTAAGGGCTGAGTGTTTTTTTGGTTCAATGAAGGCACACAATCTCCAATCACTCTTCAGCTTGAGATTTGCTGTACTGGCCCTGGGTTCAAAAAGAATCTTGGTTGTCCACAGAACTCCTAGGGCAGACGCACACTTAAATATAGAAGAGTAAAGAAGTGGCTTCTCGGGTGCCCAGAGCAGTTCTGGTGAAGAGCAGCTAGCTGTCAAAACATAAATCAAGCACACAACTACTCTGAAAACAACTGATTGCATAGTTGGAAAAAATGTATAGGTCAACTGGATTACTTGCTAAAGAATTTGTAATTTTTTTTTTCATCCAGTCTTGTGATTCACAAACCCTCTACCGATCGCACTGATTTTTAAACTGCTCATCAGACTATAATTTGAAGATTTGTATATAAATGTGATGTCTCAGCCACCAGCCTAAAGTGGATCTAAAGCCTCAACTCTTTTTTTTTTACCTTAATGTATTTCTTGCATTAAGGTAAATGTTTAGGTAAAAGTATCACCCCCTTCACAATACTCACTTGAGCCCTTTCTGGTTCCAGCACTGTGCCTGTCTGCAACGGCTCTTTCCTCTCCACTCCTCTTACTTCCTGGTCTCACAAGCTTTGCTGAGGCAGTGCAAGCCATTGGCTCCCATTGATGTCAGTCATACCCTGTGACAAGTGAGCGGGGGGGGGGGGGGGGGGGGGGGGGGTGGGAGGCTGAGCCACACTGTGTTTATGGACACAGGCAGCACAGCTAGGGATTGAGCAAACAGGTGTGCCACCATAGGTAGCAGCTTCTCATGGTGGCACGCCAAGAAGAAGGGGAGCCAGGAGCGCTGGCAGGGGGACCAGGGAACAGGAGGTACTTCCATTGCACAGAGCACATAAGTATAACTTTTGTTATTTAAGAAAAAAATCAGTTTACAGTCACTTTAAACTACATAACAGTGCGAAATTCATTTATCACTAGTTAATAAAAAGGTTAAGTGAATAAAGCAATCAACTAAAATAAAATAGGCTCAAACACATTATAGATTTACTGCAGGTTCACACTATGTGCGGTGACCTGCGTTTTTGGACACACCACTAGGAGCATAGAAAACAATATTTTTCTATGTTCCCTATTCACACCGCAGTACTGGTTTTGATCTATGGTGTAGTGCTGAAAAATGCAGCATACCACTGCACACAGCATTGTATTGATGAGTAAATTGTCACTATGTCACAAAATTAAAAAAAAAAACAAAAACCCAAGCAGTTCCATGCACTTAAACGTGCATCACACCGCTCTTTGCTGGTGCAGACCCTGACATTAGCCCACGCAGCATTACACTGCCTTTACTTTGTAGGCTAGTGTAAACCTACCTTGATCATGTAGCTGTAATATTTGAAGGATAAAATACTTCTCTTCCATGTATTTTTAGAATTATTTTTACATCATTAAGATAAGTGTTTATATGTGTTTAGACCGATGATGGAGAGGATGATCTGAAGAAAGGAACTCAACTACTGGAAATCTATGCTTTGGAAATTCAGATGTACACAGCACAGAAAAACAATAAGAAATTGAAAGCATTATATGAACAGTCCTTGCACATCAAGTCTGCTATCCCACACCCTCTTATTATTATGGGAGTCATCAGAGGTGAGAAACTCACATTACTCTTTATCTTACAGATCTGGTATTATGTGGAAGAAAAAATATTATCTAAATATCCATTATTGGTCTTTCTGACACAAGATTGTACCATGGAAGATTAGCCCTGTTTGATTCCTAAAGTGGTTGGAAAGGCATCAGGGTTTTTTTTTTTTTTGTTTTGTTTTTTTTACTTTAATGCAGTCTCTGCATTAAGGTAAAAAACTTTGAGTGCAGCTCAGCCCCCCCCCCCCCCTAAATACTTACCTGAGCCCAATCTTGATCCGTCACGAGAACAGTGCCTCTCTCTGTTTCTCCTCATAGGCTCAGAGACAGCAGTTGGAGACATTGTCTTCCACTGCTGTCAATCACAGCCATTTGGGGGGGCTCAGAGTCACGGTCTGTGTGTAAATGGACACACAGAGTGCGGCTCATGAGCGAGCCCGCAGGAGTGCCTCCTAAGCAAACACTTGCTCTGGGGAGGGGGGGTGGGGCAGTAGTAGTAGCCAGAATTGCAGGAGGAAGACCCAAGAAAGGAGGATCAGGGTTTGCTTTGTGCAAAGTGATTGCACAGAGCAGCAGGTAAGTATGACATGTTTGTTATTTTAAAGAAATAAACTTTTTTAACTCATTTATGAAGGCTTTTTAGCCTGCCCTGCACAGTTTCTATTTTCTGCATTATGTTGCAAATTCAAATTCAATAAGCTTATTGGCAAGACCAAATACATTTTAAAGATGAATTCCAGGCATGGTATATTTTTCCATGTTACATTTGTCCAGCTTGGACTCCTATAACTATGTGTACTCCATACCTGGCAGATGCCCCTGGATGCTAGAAACCACTGAAGTAGACACCATTACTTTAGTGTTCTCCCCTTACTTATGGGTCCCGTGCTGAGTGGCCAGCCTCATCCATTCTAAGTACAGGAGGTCGGCTGCTCACCATGGGCGCCATTCAGAGAATACCTTTCGATGCAATTCTCTGACTGGACAAGGTGGAGAGGTGGGGTGGTGATGTAATGCTGTCCACCTCATCCAATCAGAGATTGCTTTGAATTAATTCAGAAAATGACCGCATTATGTGAATGGCGCCTGTGCTGAGCGGTCGACTTCCTGTGTTCAGAATGCATCAGGCTTGCTGCTCAACGGGGGACTATGAAGCAAGTAGAGATCACTGAAATAGCATAAGGGAAACTTGCATTTTCAAAGAAGGTCATCGGTGACAGCCAGCGCATTTTTATGTCATTTTTACTTTGAAGCGGAACAAGCATTTGATATATTTCTTCAAATTTAGTGCACTTATTCTACATGGTTTAGGCCTCATTAGCAGGGCCTTCACAGGTCCTTCTGTGTTTGGTTCAATTAAGCACAAGGAGAAATTTGATTTGGTTGGAATAATGTGTTTTGTTTTTTTTTGTTTTGTTTTTTTTTACTGATATGCAAATGATTTACACATGTTCAGGAGTTCCATACAAATGTTTTACCTTACCTTACAAATGCCTCTTCATTAGCATTTATATGTGTTTAGACATGTTCAGAGTGTCTCATCTGCCCCATTTGTTTTATTAATGCAATTAAGCTGAATGCCCCTGAGTGCATGCAAATGCACAGTGTGTATTATACCATTTAAAATCATGCATACACCTATATGGCCTATAATCACTCATATTTAATTGCCCGTGTTAAGAAAACACTTCAGTTCTTTATAGATTTGACTTAACCAGGAAATCTGTTCTTTCTAGGAGAGAGATAAGTGATAGGGGTATAAACCCATGTAGTGGGATGTGCATCCTTCAATAATTTGAGGGTCAGGACTAAACTGTTCATATTTCTGGATTGCACAAAAAAATCTTGTCAAACTTTTTGTGAACAGTTTCGACTTGAGTATTTGAGTTTATACAGGGGAGGGTCCCATTAATTGCTGCTTACCAAGTGTTCACTGTGGATGGGGTAGGAAGCCTGAGTATGGCAGCTAACATTATCAGCTGTTTGTATGACCAGTGGGCCCACCCCCAATCTTAGCCCTCCCACAGTGTTGATGGTGTCAACAATTGCCCTCTGTCTAGATCTGGGGAAAGGGCCATACCATATGAATAAATGGAGCCCACGTCCACCATACATCTGTGATACATTGTCCCAACAAATGGATATATAGTGAAGAGCTTTTGTGGAGTACAATATGGCCGGTGTAGGAATGCAAGTTATATAAACCTATCTTTGAACAAAATCCTACAGGGAAGGTGTTGTTGCAGGCTTCATCCCCATCCTCATCCATCAGGTCAGGGATGTCTTATTACATTCAAAAAAGTAATGTCATCATTTCTGACAGTGCCTTCATTCGCTTTTCTCTGCAGAAGGTTGATGCCATCTTTTTTTTTCAGGCATTATCCAGAGTCATAATCTACTTCCTGGACTGTGATGCTGCCAGAGATATGACACCATCATGTAAATTCTAAAGTCTGTGCTGTTCTTTGCGTTGCTGACAAATATCTGGCATAGATCGGCCATGCAGCCTCTCCACTTGTGACTTACTACAATGTTAGAGTCATATAATTGGGGAAGGGGACACTAACCCACATGCGTTGGGGCCACACTGACCACTATTTCCAGTGCAGCCCTAAAGCATAGATGAAGAAAATATTTTTTTTTTTTCCAAAGGCGTCAGTTCACTTCACAGCATTGCTGCATGCAGTACTTCTTCCTTTTTTTTTTCTTTTTTTTTTAATAGCTCTGCAGGTTGTGCCACAAACCGCTGCATCGCAATGCTGCTGCAGTGAATAGAACTCTCATGATGTTTCAGTAAAGTTCTGTGGAAGTAAGTAAACTATGTGATGCGCGTTGATCAGTGCATTGGCACTGTGTCTCGCAGCTCACTCCAGCGGCTGTGTGTGCAGAACGGCTCGCTGGTATAAATGAGCACTAAAGAACAGTCTGTTCCCGCCTGCAGCAACCTGATCACATTCTCACAGCCTTGCCATGTCATTTGACTGTCACTTTAAAGTGGTTGTAAATCCTTACATATACCCAGTGAGGTGACTGGCCTCAGAGAATAAATCCTCCTACTAAGTTGTACCTGTTTATTTGCAGTCTTCTCTTCTCTACATCCCTTCAAAGTGCTGAATTTAAAAAGCTTGTATGAGCTGTAAGAAAACTGTACAGAGCTGAAATTATACACTGCAGAGTTCAGTGAGGAGCTCTTTGCAGGGAAGAGACACACCACCCTCCACACAGCTCACAGGTGCAGATTTGAGGCTGTCAGTCACAGGCTGTGTGTTGGAGATTCCCACCCTGTCACCATTTTTCTCTTGGTGTCAGGAAAACTTGTCAGAAGAGACTCATGCAGATAGCAGAGGAATGGGGAAGCAGACAAAAATGTACACCTTAGTGCTCTGGATTGAGACAAGTATACACTATAGAGGGATATGCTTTGTTCATATTTCATGTCTGAGGTTTACAACCTCAAAAAAAAAAAGATGATGTGTATGCTGACATCATTGGGAATTTATTCATATGGATTTAAGTAAAGTCAGTGGAATATTTTCGGTCATGGAAAGGCTTCACTGATTTTGTTGCACTTTTTGTAGCCCCAAGTGAATTGCTTAGGTGTTGAACAGGATTTCTGTAGCATGCATTCCTTTGTTTTCCTCTTGTGCCATTGAGCCTCCATAATAAATGTGTGCTCACAATAACCTTTTCTTTGCTGTATAAAGTTAATGATGTATCATGGGGCACAGCACTTTGCCTATGACGTAAATGTCATGTTTGCTGTGTATCTTCTACCTACTGAAGGAAGTGACTCAGCTTTTTATTGTGGCATAAGTCTATTCTGGGAAAATGCATTGCCTAGAAAGTATTATATATCACATTTATCAACTTCACAGTCAATGAATAACACCTGCTGGGCTGGATAACTGAGCTTTGATTTGCAATTTCATTTGCATTCCTTCATTAATTCAGCATTTGTTTCAAATGGAATATAGGAATCCCTCATACATTTTTATGCGCACATCAGTCTTATTATTCAAGTTGTTTTTGGTAATCGGGTATATACTGTTGATACTGTTAGAGAGAGGTCGAACGGAGAGGAATTTGCTGACCTCCTTCCAAAAAAAAAATCGTGCCTGGCTGCCTTCAGCTTCAGTATTGACCTAGTACAAGTATGCAGGGACATAGTGACATCAGATCTTCTGTTCTGGTTTAGAAAGTTCAGAGGCCAATAAATAGGCCTTACATTATGGCAGCCAGAACTTCAGGAAGAGGTCAGCAATAAAACTCCAGCAAAGGTTTCCTTTACATGTTTTCGGCAAGGAGGGTTTCCCCAGTGGATACACTGTGAGAAATGTGTATTACTTGAAACACGTTGTAGCAAATAAATGGTGTTTAAAGGCAAAGGAAACAATGTAACATGGTGGATTTAGATAGGATTAAGAGTGCAAAAAAGGGCAAAATCAGAAGATGGGTAAACCAGACTCTTGAATAGGAATGCTGTATATGGATCTGCACATGTTTTTTTTTTTTTTTTTACTATGATGTGAAATACGTAACAAGTATGGTGCTGTATTGATAAGTCTTATTAATAAACAAGCTGATTCATAATGTCACTTGGAAAAATGGGGGATATTTGCAGCTCTTCTACACTTAGATGTTGGTGCTCTCTTCTCTTTACATGTTTGCAATAGATTACTCAAGACCAATTTTAGAGGGTTTATTCAAAACAACTAAAAAGGATTAAAATGTGCGCTCTGTGCATAAGGAGAATAAACTGCATATCATCAGAGTTAAGCATTCTGTGGAGCCATAGGGTAGTGTAGAGTTTGGCAGGGATGCTGCTGGAAGGTGCAGAGCTGTGCCAGGAAGCTGCTGGTATATAGCCAATGCTGTCATCCAGTGTGTATGACAACCTTTGGCTTAACAAAGTGGCAGTATCGTCCCTGAAACTCGTAGCCAACCCCCCCCCCCCCCCCCCACATGACATCACAGACAAACCCCCTACGACAGCAGGTGAAGTGCCAAGCCTGACGCGACTGTCCAAGATATCCCGGAAGCCTCCCAACTACATCTGTGCCTGCTTGCATTCCACACTGGAGGACAGCATCGGCTATATACCAGCAACTTCCTGGTGCACCTTTCAGCTACATCCCTGCTGGACTCCTCACTACCCTATGGATCCTCATAAGGCTTTACTCTGATGATATGCAGTTTATTCTCCTTATGTAGTGAGTGTATTTTAACCCTATTGTTTTTAATCCTCTACACTTAGATGTTGACGCCCTCTTTTGTATTCTTTTCACCATGATGTGGCCACCAATGTGGAAATGTGTATATTATTAGGCTGCTTAGTATGTGAACCAGGTATCCAAGGACTCCTACTTTACCTCTTTTGATACAGATTGTGTCATCCACCACATTTTGTGTGGATCCTACTTCTTTTTTTCAGACCAGTAACTGGTCATTGTGGTAATCAAGTTGGTAATTTGTATAGACACTGCATTGCATGCATCAAGAACAACCTTTTCTGTAGCGAAGTGTAGACATGACAGTATTAACCACAAATTTCATGTTTTTTTGTTTTACTGTTTGTTTCAGAATGTGGAGGAAAGATGCACTTAAGAGAAGGGGAGTTTGAAAAAGCTCATACAGATTTCTTCGAAGCATTTAAAAACTATGATGAATCTGGGAGTCCGAGGAGAACAACGTGTTTGAAATACCTTGTCCTAGCTAATATGCTCATGAAGTCTGGAATAAACCCATTCGATTCTCAGGAGGTATGGATGCCTCTGTATATTTTGTAGATTTACTGAGGTTATCTGTTGGGTTAATTAAAATATTATTTTACCTTCCAGGCCAAACCTTACAAAAATGATCCAGAAATTCTAGCAATGACAAATTTAGTAAGGTAAGTCAACAGCTACAGCTTCTATTATGGTCATATCGTACTAGGAAAAGCCACCATTCTTAACATTTCACACATCAAGTTTAAAGCGTATTCTATTTCAGATAAATGCTTCTGTATCTGTGATGGTGTAAAAAGTGTCAAGCAATGCCATTCATCTATCAGTTTGTCAGCTTAAAGGTGTGAAGCCTCCTTAAGGGAACATTTATATGTATGGCGCTTGTTGGTTTGCTTTTCAGAAACTTTTGACAAGCTGCTTGGAGGCGAAGTGTCATCTGAAAGCAGTCGCGTGCATTACACACAGTTGTTGCACAGTCTGATTCACTTAAATGGGTCATGTTTTGATGGTAGTACTGTCTGCTGCAATGATGTATACTTACATGGCTGCTGGCCATGTTAACTTGTGGCTTGTGGGCTGTTAAAACAGTAACTCACCCGCCTGTTATTACACCTCATCCACACATGTGAAGAAGGCCTTAAGTAGGGCATTTTTATTACCTACAGTAATTTATTCATATTCTTTATAAAGAATTCCAGGCATGGTATATTTTTCCAAACTTAGATTGGTACCATACCTTGCTGTAGCAGATGCCGCTACTTCAGTAATCTCCACTTGCTTCCAGGTCCCATGCTGAGCAGCTTGCCTGATGCATTGTGAGTACAGGAGCTCAGCTGCTGAACAGTGACCCCATTCAGAGAATGCTTTGCATTTTGTGAATGAATGCAAAGTGTTCTGTGATTGGCTGAGGTGGAAAGTCGGTGATATTCGCTCTCTCCACCTTGTCCAATCAGAGAATGCTTTTAATATTTTCATAAAATGCAAAGCATTCTCTGAATGGCGCCCATGCTAAATGGCTCACCTCACAATGTGTCGGGCTGGCCACTCAACATGGGACCCGGAGACAAGTGGAAATCGCTGTAACAGTTGATTCGGCGATTTCCAGCTTTCCGGTGCATTGGCCAGGTATGGAATATATATAGCTACTGAGACTGGTCCAGTTTGGACCTATGTAACTATGTAAAAATATGCCATGCCTGCTGCTCTGCCCTTTTTATTTTTTGGGCTAGTTCACTATTTTGCACCTCACGCACCTACTCCAGGACAGCCCCATAGACTTGAACATCCTAGTTTCTGTGCATGTTCATGACCTATGGTCTTGGGTTCCCGTTCCTCAATGTACGTTACTGTGTTTTTTTATTTACTTCTTGGAGCTCATTGCCCACCATAGGAGACCTCCTAAACCAGATTTCTAACTTTCCTTCCCCAAATATTTCCACAAAAACTACCCCCTGGTGTTTCAAGCGACCTTTGAGGAAAAACGGAGAGGTGACTTAGTGGCATTCCACAGAAGCTCTCCCTTCATATGCTCCATTGAAATCGTGGATCCTACAGGTCGGTATCTAATACTACAGGGGACAATATTAGATGTTCAAGTGACCATAGTCGGCTAGTATGCCCCCCAACACTCACCAGTCCCGATTTTTCTCACACTTATTCGTGTAATTTTTTTTACACAAGAAGGGCACTGTGATCATGATGGGGGCAGCAACATGGTAATGAATAGACAGCTAGACCAATTCCCTTCAGTTGGCCCCTCCAAGGTCACTGCCGAAGCTAAATTACAGCCAAAGCGACTCTCAGACCTTTTTTCCGACTATGCTTTGGTGGATGCCTGGGAGGGAGCTTAACCCTAGAGTGCGGGATCATACTTACTACTTGGCACCCCATAATTGCCACACACAAATAGACCACTTTTTTTTTCCTCAAACTTTCGTCCCGGACATTCTTAATGTCAAGATTCTGTCCACATCCTGGTCTGAACACTTGCCACTTTTGCTCACTTATAAATCGCTGACTTCTGCCCCTCAACACTATTCCTGGCTTCTTAACAACTCCCTACTGTATTTTGACGAACCATCCAGGACTCTATCTCCACTTACTTTGCTGACAATACTGAATCGGCATCATCCCCCACGATTTTGTGGGAAGCTCACAAAGTTACACTTAGAGGGAAACTTATACAACTTGCATCCCGCAAGAAGAAAGAGGGAGATTCCCGAATATCAACCTTGTCCTCCCATCTTGTACAGTTGGAAACCCAATTTAAGGAGTCCGCTCTGTCTCTCTGCACAAACAATTGGGAGCCTCCAGGATGGAGCTAAACCACCTTTTTCATGACAGAAAAACCACTTAGATGGTCCAGACATAAATACTATACCTGCGCGAACATATCAGGCCTGATGCTAGCCAACCTTCTCAAAGCCCATACTCGAGATAACAGACCGATCAGGTTACACTTACCCAATAAAGTCATCACAGCCAACCCTTCCAAAATCATGGATACTTTTGCTTTAGTTCTGTCTGTATTATATCAGCCTGCACAATCTTTTCACAAGGACTTGGCGGATGCCTTTTTTCATGACATCCATCTCCCTGACCTGTCCCACGCTGTCAAATAAAACGAAGGCTGATATGATCATCTCAGAGGTCCTTGCAGCAATCAAAACACTTAAGATGCAAAAAACTCCTAACCCCATGGCTTCTCTGCGTTATACTACAAAAAATTCCCCGAAACCCTTGCTCCCCTTCTGACTAATTTTTTCAACCACCTACATTCTCACTCTGACTTACATTCGTTGTCAACAGCAGCTCAAATAGTGATGATTTTGAAACCCGGGAAGGACCTCAGGATCCTCCTAACTTTAGACCCATTTTCCTGTTAAACGTTGACATTAAAATCCTTGCAAACCATGTCCCATTTTCCAAATCTTCTAACTTTCACTTCTACCGGACTAGTATTCCATCCTATTCACAAAAGCCTTGAACATCTGATTAAAGGAGTCTTGGTTTCCTCATACTCTTCTCTCCTCTCTTCTCTCTCCTTCCCCTCCTTCGTCCTACCCACCTAATTTAGTTACTCCCCTTGTCTGTTAGTTTGCCCTCTGGATGTTACACTTCCTTTTTGGATATAGTCTGCCATAGGATGGCATGACCCATAATGATATGAATTACATTAACCCTACATTCTTCTTATACTGTAGTACTATTCCATATTAGCTTTGGACCACCCATGGATCCTGGAGAACTATCTTAATCTCATACTTCATCCTTTCAAGACTGACACAATGCCTGCAAAGCATCTACTCCTCTGCCCAATACCAAAATCGGACTCTTTTCATTTTGGCCTTAGAGCCCCTGTTACATCTCATCAGATCTACCCTGGACATCAAAGGGGTTATGGTTGCTCAACAGTCTTTCAAAGTTAGCACATTTGCAGATAATGTGCTCTTGACTTTGACTCAACCACACACTACACTACCTACCTTTTTTTCTATCCTGACCCGCTTTTCCAATATTTCTGGCCTAGAAGTAAATGAGGACAAATCATTGGCCCTTAACGTTTCTCTCCCTGAGGTGGAGATCAATTTATTACAACAAAACTATAACTTCGCCTGGTCCGCTGCCCACTTAGACTATCTCCGGGATTACCAGATCCTATCACACCCTCTACGATGCCAATTATATCCCAATTTTCCATTCTCTTAAAACCTTACTCACACCAACCCTTCATGTGGTTTGGCAGAATCGACGCAGTGAAGATGACTATTCTTTCAAAACTCCTATACCTACAGTGGATAAAAAAAGTCTACACACCCCTGTTAAAATGTCAGGTTTCTGTGATGTAAAAAAATGAGACAAAGATAAATCATTTCAGAAATTTTTCCACCTTTTTAATGTGACCTATAAACTCTACAACTCAATTGAAAAACAAACTGAAATCTTTTAGGTGGGGGCAAGTAAACATGAAAAACTAAAATAATGTGGTTACATAAGTGTGCACACCCTCTTATAACTGGCAATGTATCTGTGTTCAGAATTAAGCAATCACATTCAAAATCATCTTAAATAGGAGTCAGTACACACCTGCCATTATTTAAAGTGCCTCTGATTAACCCCAAATAAAGTTCAGCTGTTCTAGTAGGGCTTTCCTGACATTTTCTTAGTCGTATCCTATAGCAAAAGCCATGGTCCACAGAGAGCTTCCAAAGCATCAGAGGGATCTCATTGTGAAAAGGTATCAGTCAGGAGAAGGGTACAAAAGAATTTTCAAGGCATTAGATATATCATGGAACACAGTGAAGACAGTCGTCATCAAGTGAAAAAAATATGGTACATCAATGACATTACCAAGAACTGGACTTCCCTCCAAAATTGATGAAAAGACAAGAAGAAAACTGGTCTGGGAGGCTTCCAAGAGGCCTACAACAACATTAAAGGAGCTGCAGGAATATCTGGCAGGTACTGACTGTGTGTGACAGCAATCTTCCGTATTCTTCATATGTCTGGGCTATGGGGTAGAGTGGCAAGACGAAAGCCTTTTCTTACGAAGAAAAACATCCAAGCCCGGCTAAATTTTGCAAAAACACATCTGAAGTCTCCCAAAAGCATGTGGGAAAATGTGTTTATGGTCTGATGAAACCAAGGTTGAACTTTTTGACCAGAATTCCAAAAGATATGTTTTGGTGCAAAAACACTGCACATCACCAAAAGAACACCATACCCACAGTGAAGCATGGTGGTGGCAGCATCATGCTTTAGGGCTGTTTTATCTTCAGCTGGAACTAGGGCCTGAGTCAAGGTAGAGGGAATTATGAACAGTTCCAAATACCAGTAAATATTGGCACAAAACCTTCAAGCTTCTGCTAGAAAGCTGAACATGAAGAGGAACTTCCATCTTTCAACATGACAATGACCCAAAGCATACATCCAAATCAACAAAGGAATGGCTTCACGAGAATCCATTGTATTCCACACCCTCCCCATCCCAATCCCTTCTTATGTCGAAAGTCATTTCAAAGTTATGTTCTACGTTTTATCTGGGCTAACACAGCATGCTCATACACTGGAATCAAGGGGGCTTAGGGGTTCCCAAAACTATCAGCCCTCTAATGGCACATAGGGTACTCCACCGAATACTCCAGTGGTCTAATCTCTCCTCACAGACCACTTCTTCCCCTCTTGGGCAACCCTCTGTTTCCTCCTGGCCTTGAGTCCCCCAGCGCTTTCCATTGGTGGGTCTCCCACAAACTTCAGTGTATCCACTTGTTCCTCACTGGCCATTCTGTTTACACCTAGGCAGAAATAAGGGACAAATTCCAAGCCCCTCACAATGAACTTTTCCGATTTCTTAAAAATTAAACATTGGGTGACTTCAGTGTTCAGTGACTACTAAGACCCAATGACGCAGTTGTCCCTGTTTTAACATATTTGTCATCAGACGCCCTTCTCCCCCAAACTTATCACTATTCTTTACACACAGTTGACTAATGTTCAAAATCCCAACAAACACATTTTACGTTTCCAGGTGGGAAAAGGACCTTAAAAACACCAAAGACATGGGCTGCTGGTCACGGATATGGACAACCCAGGCCTCATGCTCTATCAATGTTCTTACAATGGAAACTGCCTTTAAAAACTGTTACAAGGTGGTACGTGGTCCCATCCTGTCTAGCGCACTTTCATCCATCTGCCCACGGTGCCTGTTTCCGAGGCTGTAGTACCCTGGGAGATGTCCTACACATATGGTGGACATGCCCTATGCTCTCTCGTTCTGGTCAAAGGTCCTTAAACTACTGCATTCATTATTAGTAGCCCCTCCCCAAGGGACTCGTGGCATGTCCTTTTACACCTGAAACCCCCCGCGCCTTACTAAACACCAATTTAAGCTAGACTTGCGTACTATTGGTGGCCAAACATAGCGAAAGCTTGGAAACAACAGTTCATATCCTTTACGGAAGTTCATCACCGCCTAGATTTCTTCCTTGTTAATGAAAAACTCTGTAGCATTCTTTCAGGTACCCACAACAGATTCCTTAAAACATGGACTCTATGGATTCAACACACCCATCCTACAATATCAATTGGTAGTTTTTACTTTGCTATAACTTTGGAGACCGTATAGCCCAGACTAAAGCACTTTTGATCCTTTCTTGTCTCCCCCTGCCCCCCCCCTCCTCCTTCCCTTTTATTTTACTGACTCTCCGGCAAGGATGATTTATGATGTGTTCCATATATATATTTGTGTATTTTAAACTCTACTACTTTTCTCGTTATTGGCGGATATCAGGCAATAGGTGTATAGTCCCTCAACCATTCTTTTCACTGATTTATTGAGATGATATGGTGGTTCTTTTTTCAATATATCGCTTACATTGTCACCAATTTTTATTGTTTGTTTTTTCTGTGTATGACTGCTTTTGATCCGTTACCTTTTATGATTATATTTCTGTTTGTATGTATAACGGTTGCGTTTGTATTTTCTAAAATCAAAACTTTTTCAATAAAAGTTTATTGAAAGTGAAAAATATTCCATGCCTGGAATTACTGTTTGTTTATCATGGCAGAGGTTCTTAACTGAGAAATGCTATGCAGATACGTTGCACTTCATGGCACCATGCATTATTTCAGAGGTGCTGTTTAATGTAGCTTTTTTGTCCCCTTGTTAAATTTGAATGAGATAACGGGGAAATGTGAATCCTTGCTTCTGGTTCATATGGGTACCCTCTGAGAGATCCCAGAACACCAAGGAAGAAGAAATGTAGTGCATGTTCTATACTTTCTGCATTCACTGTGCATGTCACTGTCCCAGGCACTTGTGTGCACTGCGAAGGTTTGTTAGACCAGAGTCATTAAAATTACTGAAAACGTCTCATATTCTTGAGTCAATGAATTGTTCTTATTTGTTTTAACAAATCTGCCCCTTCTGCCTTTTATTAAAGTGCCTATCAGAATAATGACATTACTGAGTTTGAGAAGATTTTGAAAACAAATCACAGCAACATCATGGATGATCCCTTCATAAGGGAACACATTGAAGGTACCTAAACCTGCAATTTCTTGTTTTACAATGCATTGAAATGTGTGTATTATTCTCTGAATCTACACTGTATTGCCAAAAGTATTGGGACACCCCTCAAAAGCATTAGATTCAGGTGTTCCAATCACCTTCATTACCAGGGGTGTATAAAATGAAGCACCTAGGCATGCAGACTCTTTCTACAAACATTTGTGAAAGAATGGGGCGCTCTCAGGAGCTCAGTGAATTCAAGCGTGGTACTGTGATAGGTTGCCACCTGTGCAATAAGTCCATCCGTGACATTTACTTGCTACTAAATATTCCATGTTCAACTGTTATTGGTATTATAACAAAGTGGAAGCAACTGGGAACAACAGCAACTCAGCCACAAAGTGGTAAGCCACATAGAATGACAAAGCTGGATCAGCGTGTGCTTAAGTGCACAGTGTGCAGAAGTCGCCAACTGTCTGCAGAGTCAATAGCTAAAGACCTCCAAGCTTCATGTAGCTTGCAGATTAGCACAACAGTATGTAGAGAGGTTCATGGAATGGGTTTCCATGGCTGAGCAGCTGCATCCAAGCCTTACATTACCAAGTGCACTGCAAAGTGTTGGATGCAGTGGTGTAAAGCACGCCGCCACTGGACTCTAGAGCAGTGGAGACATGTTCTCTGGAGTGATGAATCACGCTTTTCTGTCTGGCAATCCGATGGACGTGTGTGGTTGTGGCAGTTGCCTGACTGCATTGTTCCAAGTGTAAAGTTTGGTGGAGGGGGGATTATGGTGTGGAGTTGTTTTTCAGGAGTTGGGCTTGGCCCCTTAGTTCCAGTGAAGGAAACTCTTAAGTTGTAAGCATATCAAGACATTTTGGACAATTTTATGCTCCCAACTTTGTGGGAACAGTTTGGGGATGGCCTCTTCCTGTTCCAACATGACTGCACACCAGAGCACAAAGCAAGGTCCATAAAGACATGGATGAACGAGTTTGGGGTGGAGGAACTTGACTGGCCTGCAGAGTCCTGACCTCAACCCGATAGAACACCTTTGGAATGAAATAGAGTGGAGAATTAGAGTGCCTGACCTCACAAATGTGCTTCTGGAAGGATGGTCAAACATTCCCATGGACAGCGTTCCCAGAAGAGGTAAAGCTGTTATAGCTGCAGAGTGTGGGCCAACTCAATGTTGAACCCTACAGACTAAGACTGGGATGCCATTAAATTTCATGTGTGTGTAAAGGCTGGCGTCCCAATACTTTTGGCAATATAGTGTATATGTTGTGTTGTAAATAAGTATGCCCAATGGGGGAAGATCTGGTCTATATCTGTTGTGCAGTAAAAACAAAAGGACTGCTGCATTCTTTGAGTTTTGTCCTTGTAACTGCTGAATGCTGAGCTTTTTTTAAACCCAACTCCACTTTAAAAGATTTACAAATACATTGGTGGTCCATCCAAATTGAAAACAACAAAATATTTCTGATTGCAATACTCGCCTCTTCTCCGGCACTGCCCTCAACAGAATTCTCTGCTCTGCAAATCTAGTCCCAATCCTCCTCTTGGTCCAGTGCTGTCCAGTATCATTCAACTCGCTTCCTGTAAATATGTTGTGGGTCTCAAGAGGGCACATCACCAAGATATTTTACTAAAGACAATTTTTTTTTTTTCAGTTAAAATAACAAACATGTTATACTCACCTTCTCTATGCAGTGGTATTGCACAGAGGGGACTCAATCCACCTCTTCTCTGGTCCCCTGGCAGCGATCTTGGCTCCTTCCTCTTAGTGTCTCCCCATAGTAAGCCATTTGCTTTGGGAGCACACAATGTCTGCTCACTCCAGAGCTGCAAGACTTAGCCCCGCCCCCACTTCCTCTTCACTGTATATTTGATGTACAGCAGCAAGAGCCAAAGGCTTCTGCTGTTGTTCAAGTCCCTGTGTGAAGAGAAATAGAGGGTAGAAGAGATGAAACCATGCACAGCGCTAGATATAGAAAGGAGGAATAGAAAAAAAACATTATTTTACCTTAATGCAAGGTAAGGTAAAAAAAATGTTTTTAGCTTTAATATCACTCTAACGTCATTCATGCAGGATTCAGTTCCACTTGTCAAATGTCAGGTTCCTTTTAAAGCAGAAAGGAACACCATAGTTATCCAAATAATCTTTCAGTGAATATGCACTGCTGGCTGTGATGATATTACATATCACTATCCTCTTTCTCTGCAGTAAAGCAGGCTCATAACCTTTTGTGAATTGAGGTTTCCCAGGCTGCAGAAAGTGTCTTAAAGCATAACTCCACCTTTTGGTAAAGTTTTGTTTATTTCTTTTTTTTTTTCTCAAACAGTAATGATTTTCAAATACAAATTTGTTCACCAGCTGCCATGGAAAAACTAGTACATTAGAAGAGTTTTCCAAACAGGAAATTAAATATTAAAGCGATCGTAAAGTTTAGTTTTTTTCGCCTTTAATAACAAATATGTTATACCTGTCTGCTCTGTGCAGTGGTTTTGCACAGAGCTGCCCTGATCCCCCTTTAATGGGGTCCCCCACTGGTGCTCCTGGCTCCTCCTGCCTTCCGCGTGCCCCCATAGCAAGCCAGTCTATTGACAATGTGTGGCTTGGCCTCAACCCCTACTTCCTTGTCACTGGATTTGATTGACAGCAGTAGGAGCCAATTAAGAGGGCGCAGGACAGCAGCAGGAGCTTCCAGTGAGGAAGGAGAGAGAGATCAGCTCTGGATTGAGATTGGGTTTTGGTAAGTATTTGTTTAGGGGGGATGGAGGGGGGAGAGCTTTGCAAAAAGGCTTTTTACATTCATTCAGAAAATTCATAAAGAGATTTGTACAGGTTAAATAAAAAATATATAATAACAAACATGTTAAACTTACCTGTTCTGTGCCATTGTTTTCCGGCTCTTCTCCACTTCCTCTTCACTGGCTGTGATTGACAGCAGCATGAGCCAGTGGCTCCTTCTGTTGTCTTTGAGCCAATGAGGAGAGGGATCAAGAGTGATCAGCAATGCTGCTCTTGTGCACAGTGCTGGATTGCCATATGCTTGGGAAAGTATAAGAAGGGGGGGGGGGGGGGGGGGGGGTGCGCCGTACACAGAAGATTTTTACTTTAATACATAGAATGCATTAAGGTAAAAAACCTTCTGCCACTTTAAAGTGATAGTAAAGGCTAAACTTTTTGGGTTTTTTTTACCTTTATAGTGTATGTATGTCCAACAAAAACCTGGATGGTGGCTGGACATACACTTTAAATGATGTGATATACAAAGTTGATTTTTTTTTTTTTTTTTTCCCCTTCCTGGTTTTACTATAAAAAGTCTGCTATTGTAACAAATGGTATAACCCTCTGGTGTCCAGAATTATTTGATTTGTGAATAGCTGAATGTATTTTGGGATATATTGCTGAATGTACCTCTGGTTTTCCACAGATTTTATTAACTCTTTCGTCATAAGAATTTTATGGCATTCTCCATTGATGCATATGTTTAATTTTTGTTGTTTTGCAGAGCTTTTAAGGAACATCAGGACACAAGTGCTTATAAAATTAATTAAGCCTTACACCAGAATACATATTCCTTTTATTTCGAAGGTAAGAACTTTCATTTATTCAGTTTTATTACACAAACGTTTGCTATAAAGTAGATCGTATATATGCAGATCTTTCTAGGACCGAATTTGTATCTCTGCAGGTAGGATTACATTAGCTTGCAAATCTCAGCATTATACACCCTTCTGTTATCTCTTTTCTTGTCCTCCTTTTTTATTTTCTTCCATTTGGTCAGTCTGTTTGAGTTGGAATGCATGAAATAAAATGGTTGGTGTGGCTTTGTTACAAATCATTCATATGATTTATTAATGGAGCTGCAAAACAATTTTAAAGAGTACATTATATATATATAGCTCTTACCCTAGCCTTGGCTGTTCCACTGTTTTATCTGCTCATTCAATTGTAAAGAATGCCATCAGTTATGCCCTTAGGGGAAATAAACAATACTTGTTAATAATATATTTGACAGCTTTCTTGTACTATATATAGAAATTCAATTGCTTTGTGTCATACTGTTTTAGAGTTACTTATTAAACCATTAAATAAAAGAATGACAAGGTGTCTACATTATGCATTCTCTTTATGGCTTTGCAAATTGCGACACACAAGTAAGATACGGGCCGCCACATACATTGCAGCTGAGATAGGAGGCTTTGTTTATTAGCTTTTCCTTTATGCAGTTCATGTGCTTGACATTTATATCTTATCTAGGTGCTTTCACCTATAGTGCATGGTCACTAGTGGGTGTGACTCAGACGGTCTGCTCAGTTATAGTTTCCAAATGTTAAGTTTCCTGAAGAAAAAATAAATAAATAAATAACCAGTGGCATCAAAGTCGCTTGGGTCCTGTACTGTCCACCAATCAGACTAGATAACCAACTAGTTTAAAGAGAAGTATGGCCAAAGCTTTTTTTTTTTGCCATACTTCTACTGTGTGTCACAGGACTGCCCTTGCTTGGGGTTTACTGTGACCCAGAATCCGAGTCGCTGCAAGCTCTGGAAAGATTCTGACAATAATGTAGGGATCCACCCAGACGCTTGAGTCTGCCGTTCTAGTGGAGGGGCAGAGCAGAAAACTGGTGACTGACAGTCATCGTTCTCTACTCAGAGCTGCTGAAGAACTGAGTGCTCAGCGGGGATGTGCATGCTTAGTTCTTAGATTTCGAGCCAGCGGGGACAGCTACAGCATCACACCAATACTGCAGCAGGGAGGTGAGTATAAATGTTTGCTTTTTAATACAACCAAAACTTCTCCTTTAACACCTTCCCGCCCGGCCTATTGCAGATTGACGGCCAGGCGGGACACTCGCCGTTGTGACTGGGCGTCATATGACATCCTGTTAAAACGAGCCGCTCACGGGGCTGCTCAGCATCGCGATCTGTCACCGGCTGTGTCCAAGGGACACAGCTGATGGCATGTCGCTATACCGGCCCGTTGCCAGTGTCATGGGACTGCTGTGACCAATCACAGTGGATCACATTTCAATTGTATACAATGGATGGCTTCCTGCCGTGCCATCCATTGTATGCAATTATGTTGTTAGTTGTGACTGGTCAAGGCAGTCACATGATACAGACGGGGCCAATCACAGCTGATCTGTATCATGTGATCAGCTTTGCCCAATCACAGCTAATCACAACAAAAGACTGCAATCATTGTTACTGAATGAAACTGATGCATTCAAATATCAATGAAATACATTGGTATTCGCAATCATAATGTGTTAAAAAAAAAAAAAAAATCCTTTTCACTTGCCCAGATTAGTTCAATGTTACTATGGTAACATTGTATTGCTTTGGTCACAGTGTGCTGAAAAATAAAATCATAAAAAAAAAGAAAAAATGTAATAAAAAATAAAATACAAATTCAATTATTATTTTCACCAAAAAAATGTAGCAGAATACATTTTGACCTAAATTTATGAAGAAATGTTATTTATTGTAAAATGTTATAACAGAAACAAAGACAAGTGCTTATTTTCTTGTTTTATGTAACAAAAAATAAAAAAACTCAGTGGTGATTAAATACCACCAAAAGAAAGCTCTAATTGTGTGAAAAAAAATGATAAAAATTTCATATGGGTACAGTGTTGCATGACCGCGCAATTATCATTCAAAATGCGACAGCTCTGAAAGCTGAAAATTGGCCTGGACAGGAAGGGGGTATAAGTGCCTGGTATTGAAGTGGTTAACCACGCTTGGTCCTGATACCTACTGCAAGTCATGTCATTGTGTTCTCTTTTTATATGATTGATTGATTGATTGATTGATTTTAAGCTGGGTCATGTGATGAGCGTGCAAAGCTACAAGGAAATGTCTGTCAAATATTTTCACTCTAATTGCTTTTCAGTCCAAAGTTCATTCTAATTTTTTTTTTTTACTTGTGTATTACAGAAACTTTGTCTAAAAATATATTATTTCAACACGTTTGTTTTCATGAAAACTAAGTAATGTCTGTCCCTTGTCTGTTGTCTAGGAGCTTAACATAGATGTATCAGATGTTGAGAGTCTGCTTGTTCAGTGCATATTGGATAAGTAAGTTATTTTTTTATGTTTTTCATCCTGCAAACTATAAAAATAAATGTATTTATTCCTCTATAATTGTCATCTATGGTGGTGTATCTCAGCTTGATATGAATATCCATTGCTTCTTATAACTGTCATGTATCCATCCGGGTGTTTACTAGCACAGCCTGCGTTGTAGCATTAGAGACCATGTCTAGGTACACATTATTTATTTCAGGTACTTATATAGCGCCATGAATTTACGCAGCAGCTTTACGTATATGTTGTACATTCACATCAGTCCCTAACCCTCAAGGGGCGTGCAATCTACATGGGCGATAAATAGGTTCTTTTGCTTAAAAAAAAAAATTTGCATTGTTTCACTGCAGATAAATGTTGCTGGTTATTTCAGCTTCTCCAAAATAACATAGTTGTGGAGAGAATAAAAATTGTTCCTGCTAATTGGTGGAGCTTGTACCAACCCAAACCTGCTTGTTATTTTACATGACACCTGAAAAGCAGATCTGTGTCAAGAAAGTGACACCTAAGACTTCATTCACACAGGTGCATAGAGACCTGTACTTCTCTGCAGAGGGTCACATTTATTCACAAAGTCAAAATCAATAACAGCCTGAGAGATGCAGAGGCTATCTGAATCTTCCAGCCCATTCCAGTGTTTACATCTGTACAAGATGGACGCAGATTATCTGTCTCCAGAGCTGTGTTTGTCCCTATGCACATGTAAGCACTGGCATGTGCAGGAAAACCTGTATAGCCACTACATCTCTCCAGCTGTCACTGATTTTGACAGGGTGGGTGCATGAACACCTGTCATTCCCCATGCGAAGAAACACAACCCTCTGTATGGGTCTATGTGCCTGTGCAAATGAGACCTAAAATGAAAGCTTTGGTCCCAAAATCCATGTTATTTTAGTTCGCTTCTGAAGCTGGGGGCTTCATTGCAACAAGCCTTCTGATCAACTGGTAGCCTTGGGGCTGCTCTTATGTGGCCTCATAACAGCTTAGTTGGAGTGCGAGTTGGGTTTGCACAAACCCCTCCTCTCCACAGAGGTTTTCCATATTTTTGTCAAAAGTTCAAAACCCCTTTTAAATTATTGTCACAATCTTTTTCTGCCTTTTTAGAAGAATGAACGCTTGAATCTGGGTACTTTTTACGACTGATCTTTCTTTTTTACTTCTTTATTAAAACTGATTCTCCTTTAAATATAACAAAGATTGTTCAAATTGTCTTTGTACTTATAATAAATATATGTGCTGAGAATAAACTATTACTGGGACTGTAAAGCAGGCACCAGGAAGCTCTTGCAGTTAACCTTGCATAACTTCATATGCTCCCAGGAGCCCCAAACCCAAGGAATCTGTTATGAAAACACATGTAGATGTAAGAGTTTCAGTAGACATGTAAAGAAATATCGCCACTTCCAAGCCTGTATAGAAATCCCTTGCTTCTGGAACTCTGGCTGCTGAGTTCCTTTTCCCTTTAAACTTAAGCATTTAACACAGACTAGGAAGTTGGTCATTGCAGTTTAAAATTATACTCCTGTCATGGCAAACTGCGCCTAACTAAACATTAACGTGAACATCAATAAATTACATTTCTGAACAGTATCTATAAATGAAGCACAAAAAGTTATTCAAGTATCATCAAGTGAATAATTTGGTCCACATGACATTTGACCATGTAATATATTGCAAATCTGTAGCATGTAGCAAATCTAAAGTTACCCCCAGACATAATTATGCCCACTTTCAGGAATGCTTTATAAATTCTCTGCGAATGTCTTGTGTAACAAGAATGCACAGTTGTGGAATAGAACATGGCAGTACATGACTAATGCAGAGTTGCCCACTGTTCTCCCTGTGTGGGTTTCCTCCGGGTACTCCGGTTTCCTCCCACACTCCAAAGACATGCTGGTAGGTTGATTGGATCCTGTCTAAATTGGCCTTTGTATATGAATGTGAGTTAGGGACCTTAGATTGTATGCCCCTTGAGGGTTAGGGACTGATGTGAATGTATAATATATATACAGTTGTGTTCAAAATAATAGCAGTCAGACATCACTAACCTGATCAATCACTGTTTTTGGTAGAAATGATATTTCTACATGGCAAATAATTTACTAGCAGGTGTAGTAGAGTAATAGAAATCCAACAGACCCAACAGTCATGGCATGCATGCTGCTGATTCTGTGTAATTGAATCACTAATTGAAAGGGGCATGTTCAAAATAATAGCAGTGTGGAGTTCTATTAGTGAGGTCATTCATTCTTTGAAAAACAGGTGGCAATTATTGCCCTTATTTAAGGAAGGAAGGCAGCAAATGTTGTACATGCTGGTTACAGTGCATTTCTCTCTGAAATTCTGAGGAAAATGGGTCATTCCAGATATTGTTCAGAAGAACAGCGTACCTTGATTAAAAAGTTGATTGGAGAGGGGAAAACATATAAAGAAGTGCAGAAAATGATAGGCTGCTCAGCTAAAATGATTGCAAATGCTTTAAAATGGCAACCAAAACCTGAAAGACGTGGAAGAAAGCGAAAAACTACCATTTAAATGGATAGAAGAATAGCCAAAATGGCAAGGACTCAACCAACAATCAGCTCCAGGAAGATCAAAGAAGGTGTAAAGTTACCTGTGAGTACTGTTACAATTAGAAGACGCCTATGTGAAGCCAAGCTATCTGCAAGAAGCCCCCGCAAAGTCCCACTGTTGAAAAAAAGACATGTGCTGAAGAGGTTACAATTTGCCAAAGAGCACATTGACTGGCTTAAAGAGAAATGGCGCAACATTTTGTGGACTGATGGAAGTAAGATTGTTCTTTTTGGGTCTAATGGCCGGAGACAGTTTGTCAGACGACCCCCAAACACTGAATTCAAGCCACAGTACACTGTGAAGACAGTGAAGCATGGTTGCGCAAGCATCATGATATGGGGATGTTTCAACGGTGTTGGGCCTATTTATCGCATACCAGGGATCATGGATCAGTTTGAATACATCAGAATACTTGAAGAGGTCATGCTGCCTTATGCTGAAGAGGAAATGCCCTTGAAATGGGTGTGTTCCAACAAGACAACAAACCCAAACACACCAGTAAACGTGCAACATCTTGGTTCCAGACCAACAAGATTGACGTTATGGAGTGGCCAGCCCAATCCCCGGATCTTAATCCAATAGAAAACTTGTGGGGTGACATCAAAAATGCAGTTTCTGAGGCAAAACCAAGAAATAGAGAAGAACTGTGGAATGTAGTCCAATCATCCTGGGCTGGAATACCTGTTCACAGGTGCCAGAAGTTGGTTGACTCCATGCAACACAGATGTACAGCAGTTCTCAGAAACAGTGCTTACACAACTAAATATTCATTAAGTGATTCAAAGGAAAGCAAAATCTTCAAACATTTTTCAGTTTATATAGTGAATGTTTGAGTTTGTAAAGAAGAATACAAACACTGCTTTTTTTTTTGAACAGTCTAATATTCACTTTTCTTAAATTTTTTTAGAGGAACAACACAAATTTGATATATTTTTCTTCATGTTTTGATTTGGAATAGAATGTGTAGTGTTCCCAATGCATTTGTGTGTATGGAAATAAAAGCTATTAGAAGGATTTTGAGCTTTATTCACTTTTTTCAACACACTGCTATTATTTTGAACACAATTGTATGTAAAGCGCTGCGTAATTTGACGTCGCTATATAAGTACCTGAAAAAAATAAATGGTCAGCAGAGGATCTTTGTACCCGGTTTCCAATGTGGGAACTGAGTTCTTTGTTGCATCCTTAGTGAAATGCAACTAATTGAAAAGGGGAGATGTCCTGGAAGTCGCACATCTCTGCAAAATCCTGTAAGAAGGTGTATGACAGCCTCAGCCCGGGCTTCAACCAGGCCACGGCTCCAACGCATTTCATTCCACCCACGGAGTTTAGTTTGGGTTTAGTAAAATATAGTCAGGTGTTATGGGCATATCTTGAAATGGTTTCACAAACTCATCTCAAATCCATAAAGGTATAATTTGCAGATATCCTGTATGTCCAGTAGAGGTGTCAAAATTGTTTGTATTGTAACATCCTACTCTAATCAATGAATGAACTAAAAGTGGAAATACAGAATCATTATATTAATTTAGCAAGATTCTCCAAGTGACTCTATTCTTTTTGTCATGCACGCTCAAAAAGCCCAGATCTGTGCAAATTTAGCTGAAGAGTTTTAATGTAGTTCCACCCAATTCAAGAAGCAGAAAATATGACAGCTGCTCAATTTAAAACTAACACAATATTGAAGTAATCCATCACTGGATCTTTTATATTTATTGCTATTAAAGGAACCAAACCCACTGATTTTAACTGTTTCAAAAAAACATTTAATTATTGCTTGTGCTGTCAGCCGAACTGTCAAACCATCAAATGGCACTTGTTATAACTTATCACATGTGCAGCGCCGTGGCAACTGCAGATCAATCAAAGGCTATGATGGCAGTTTCCGTGGCTGTAAAAGATAGGAGGGTTTAGTTCCCCTTTAAAGCAGAACTAAACCTATCAATTTAACTGTTTTGGAAAAAAAAAAAACAGTTACATTCAAGGCATGCTGTACATAAGGCCCTGTTCACATCTGACGATTCTGCTCACAATCCCAAAACGCACTGCAGTAGTGGCAAAGCACACTGCACGTGTTTGGGTGCCATTCATTTTCAGTGGCACATAAACACAGTGCAGTTTTGCCACGATTGTTGCACTGCAATTATGGCAAACCGCAACGCGCAAATCTTGTCACCCAAAAGAAGCGTGGTGCGTTTTGCCACTATTGCAGTGCGGTTTGGATCATAGGCAGGATCACGATTGTGCCTGAGATCCCACAACACCAGATGTAAACAGGGCCTTATTGTCACATTTGTTTGTACTCGCAACTGAACTGTCAGACCCTCAAATGGCTGCTGTCACAACTGATCATATATACAGCACCATGGTAACTGCAAACCAAAAAGAGGCTAAGATGGCAACTTCCCTGGCTGTAAAAGATAGGACTCTTTTAGTTCTGCTTTAAAGCCTAGTTCACATTGGCATTGAAAGCAAGTGTTTGACGGGCAATTTCAATTCTCCTCAAACTTCTATGCAAATGATAATATGGACAATTCACAGTGCTGGTCAGATTATCAAAACATGAAGTGTTAGCCTTGCGTCGCTTCTCTTCAATATTGAAGCTTCGTGTCCAGTTTGAAGGAGTTGATGCCTTTTAAATCCTTCCATTGAAGTCTGTGGTAGCGTACCACAAATGTGCTGGCATGCGTTTGTGGCATGTTTGCAGCGCAGTTGAGGAGCATTAATAACATTACAGTTTAAAAAAAAAAAAAATTGCCTTAAAATAGGGGACATCGGGCCGTGGCTGCAGCATTGGGCACATGTTACATGTTCCACCCGAAATACGGGTGGAACATGTAACATGTTCCCAAAGGTGAACTTATCCTTTAACAAGCTTTAAACATGAGTCAAACGCACCTATTAACGAACATTAACGCTGTGTGTGTGATTGTTAGAGTCGTTTGAGTCAGGGCTTGTTCACACTTGACTCAACATGCTAAGTGTCCATTATGGGTTGAAATGCCTGATTTCTCTTAAATTAATGTCATCCGTTTTTGTTTTCAAGCACTATCCATGGGCGAATTGATCAAGTAAACCAACTCCTGGAACTGGACCACCAGAAGAGAGGAGGAGCACGATACACTGCTTTAGATAAATGGACCAACCAACTGAATTCTCTCAACCAGGCTGTTGTCAGCAAGCTTGCTTAACAAAGAAGAAGTTGTTACTCAGTAGATAAAAAAAGTACTTAAAGGCAACAGTGCAGTCATATAACCCTTAAAAAGAACTGTGGAATGGCAAAGATATACTGTTGGTTGCTGTGTGCCCTGAAAAAAAAAAAAGGAATTTTGGCCGAAGCGCTTTCTGATCAGCTGGTATGTGTTTCACTGCTGCATTTGTCCCAAGAGAATAAAGAAAAACAGCTTTAAACTCCAGAAGATAACCAAAATGTTACGGGAACTATGCTGTATTGTTGTCATCTTGTCCTGTAAAACGCAACACCTTAGTAAAGTTTGCCACAGGCAAATCAAGACCAGAGAGAAGATTTTGTCACGATTTTAAATATACACTGACACATTACTGTTGGTTCAATTTAAATATTTTACCTGCAGAGAAAGAAAAATGTCTCACAAAATACCTGCAATAACTTGAATGCATATCCTTCCCAACACTTCCTTGTATAAACTGATCTGTTTGCTGCATTTTGCTAATCTGTTTCTCATATATATATATATATATATATATATATATATATATATATATATATATATATATATATATATATATATATATATATATATATATATAAATTTTACCTGCAGTATAGTAAATATTTAGAAGGCACCCTATAATTACAGTGGCATAATGTCACTTAGGTTTCAAGCAGCAAAATAAACAGCTCAGCTCAGAATGACATCTTTCTGTGTGTTTCTTGTATTGTTAGGTAAAGCCAACCATGACAAGGCACTCAAACAAGGTGACACAATAGGCTCTTTTCTTTACACTTATTACATGCTTCTCACTTCCTAATAGTTTGTTCTTAGTTGTGCTTGCGAAACAAGTATGGATTCGGTATACTATGCTGACAGTATGTGAGCTGACCTTGCCAGCAAGTGAATATATTTCCTTCCATTTCTAGATATGCTAACAGTATATTGTAATATTCATCAGAGCTAACACTGATTAAGGTATTAGCACAGGGACCTTGGATGTCAGATTTCTGCTCTTCTAATATATGACATGGATGGGAATTGCAATTTATTTGGTGGAACTATTTCCCCCTTCACACTAAGCTGCTCCATGCACTCACAGCGCTATACCTTCACTAACATGCAGCAGTTGTCAGCCTCTGCTTCATACAGTATTCAGCACTGGCAGCAGGACGGAGACTTCCTGCCCCATTCCGGGAATAAAATCAAGTTGAGCACTGCCCAGCCATTCACAGGAGTCTTTGTATTTTATGAATGAATATTAGACTTCCTCTGATTAGCAGAGACGAGGTTTGTGATGACATCCACCTGCTTCTGTCCCAGCCAATGAGAAGAAACCATGTATTCTTGAAATACAAAGCTTCCTGTGAATGGCTGAGCAGCGCTCGGCACAACTCAATTTAGTTCTGAGTGGGTGTATTCTGCGTGCTACATACAGTGCATGCAGCCCTTCATACAGTGCATGCAGCCCTTCATGTGTTAATGAAGGAAATTGTTCATTTGGTTCAAACAGTCTAAAGTTCATTAAAACATAGTTTCTTTAAGGCAGCCTTTAGAATGGGCAGCCAAAGCAAAGACATTTAAAAAATGGACATCGCCTTCATTTATTTTGCTTTTATGAGGCGCAAGGCTGTATATTTAGCTGTCTTTCTGGAGTTCTGCTTTAAAGTGAACAAGATCTGGCCAGGTGCCTAGCACTAGTCTAGAGCACAGAGGGCTACACACCAGGGGCGGACTGACAACTCATGGGGCCCCTGGGCAATAGGGGATCATAGGGCCCCTGTGTCCTTGCCCAAACTCAAAAAAGCCTTTGAAAAAGGTACCAGGGGCATCTCATGGGGCCCCTACTGACCCCAGGCCCTCGGGCAGTGCCAGAGTTTCCAAATGGTCAGTCCGCCCTTGCTACACACTGAGTGACAGTGTTTCCTGAGGGCTTCATCTTGGGGAACCACTAAATGTCAGTGATTGCTACAGTTCAGCACTTATGCAGGCCATAGACGGGTCGTTTATCAGCCGAATTTTCATCCGCACGAAAAATCGGCCGATAATCACACCATTAGGTGTGGGGCCAGCCCGTCGGACGTTTTTCGTGGATCTCCTCATTTATTTTTATCGGTCATGCTGGAAAATTCGCGAAAAAAAACGGACGTTTTTCATGGACATGGGTGGCAGCATCGGCAATGGGGCCGACCGATTTTTCGTTTATCTGCCAAAAATTTGGCCAATAAACGGCCCGTCTATGGCCTGCCTAAGCCACAAAGTCCAAGCCATCAGTACTCTGTTGCAGAGTATTGTAAGCACAATGCATCCTTTGCACTTTCTGTGAATCCTGACGCAACTCTGACCTGCCCCCTGCCCCCCCCATCAACCCTACAGCAATAGATCTATTGCTAGCTTATTACAGTCAATAACCATCACCTTCTAACTGCAATATAACACGTGTTCACAGCATCCCAAAACCACAGGGAAAATCATTTCGATTCTAATCTGTGAAGCTCTTCACATTGGTACAGTGCACTGATTTTTTTATTTATTTTTTTAAATCCTGCTTGATGCACCTTTTATGCAGTTCTTGAAAAACGTGTGTTATGTTATACATGTATTAACCAATTCCATACCGGGCACTTTTACACCTTTCCTCCCAGGCCATTTTTCAGGTTTCAGCGCTCTCACACTTTGAATGACAATTGCGCGGGTCATACAACATTGTACCCAAACTAAAATGTTATCACTTTCTTCACACAACTAGAGCTTTCTTTTGGTGGCATTTAATCACCACTGGGGTTTTTATTTTTTGCTAAATTAACAAAAAAAAGACCAAAAGTTTTGAAAAAAAAACACGTTTTTCTTTGTTTCTGTTATAAAAGTTTGCAAATAATTGTTCTTCATAAATTTAGGCCAAGATGTATTCTGCTACATGTCTTTGTGAACTCTATAACTTTCCTACAAACTAAAAAATACATCCTGATTTGGGTTATTTTTACCAAACTATGGTATAGATCTGAAAATTGATCAATCCTGAAGTTCTGACAGCCAATCTAATTTCTTGAGGTCCAAGAATGTCAGAATAGTACAGATATCCCCAAATGACCCCTTTTTGCAAAGTAGACAGTCCGACGTACTTCATAAGAGGAATGGCGAGTTTTTTGAAGTTGTATTTTTTTTTTTGTCATAATTTTTCAAAAAATTAAAAAAAAATCAGTTTCACAATTTTTTTCTTTTACATATTGTCACCAGTGCAGTACAGCGTCATCATATAACTGGCATGGCGGTGATCAGGGACACCGTGACAGTATGAAAAAAATATATGTGTGTGTATGTGTGTGTGTGTATATATATATATATATATATATATATATATATATATATATATATATATATATATATATATATATATATATTTTTTTTCTTTTTTTATTATTACTTTTTTTTTTTTTTATTACTTTTTTTTTTTTCATATTTCACTATGACCAAAGTAGTACAATGTTACCATAGTAACATTGTACTACTTTGGGGAAGTGATCAGTATTTTTTTTTTTTTTTTTTACACAATTTGCTTATAGCAAATAATTACTTTGCTATAAGCAAGCATTTACCTGAATGACATTGATTCATTCAGGGTTTTTTTTTTTTTTGTTTTGTTTTTTTTTGTGCTTAGCTGTGATTTGGCCACAGCTAATCACATGACATGTGCATGTGATTAGCTGTGACCATTCACAGCTAGACGCTAGTATACAATGAATGGCATGAATGAAGCCATCCATTGTATACAACTGTCATGTGACCTGCTGTGATTGGTCACAGCAGGTCACATGGTACCGGCAACGGGGGGCCGATACTCAGATCTGTCATCGGCCGTATCCGAGGTACACGGCCGGTGACAGATCGTGCTGCTGCGTGGCTCTGCAGAAGCGCAATCTGCGCATGTGCGGTAGGACGCCATATGGCGTCCACCCGGAACGCTGATGACATTTGCCGGCCACCATTTGACTATAGGGCGGGCGTCAAATGTTTAAAGGTAGTACATTGTAAAACACTCAAAATGCAATATTCAATTTAGCCAGTTCACTTTCAGTCACATATCCATGATTTCACACATTCACACTTGGGGGGAAAAAAATTAGGGGTGTAAAATGCATGAATTCGCTCATCTTGAATTGCATTTAATTGTAAAAAAACATATTAAAGAACACTTTTTTTTTTTTTTTTTTTTTTTTAAGGAATTGCATAGGAGTTTTCAAATGTGAAAAAGTAAAAGAGGTCCTAAAAGAAGTGATCCGTTGCTTCGTACTTGCATGGGGAGAGGGCTGGGTCAGGTTGTAAAAAGTAATTGTCAACTTGATAAAGGCACATTGGTTTATTCGGTTTTTAAAAAATCCGCTACCTCCATGTCCCAGAAAATATGTTGGGTGCTCTGGATGACAGTGGGAAGTAGAGACCGGCAATTAACAGTTTTTACTTTGTGAGAGTGAGACTTGCAGAAGTGAGCACAATGTCATTCAGAACTGTAATGACCTCAGATCTGCAAAATTGTTTTCTAATTTCTGTCCATACAAACCCAACTAAATCTTATCTTAGTGTTTAAATTAAAAATTTGCACAAACATTTCGTTTTTTTTTTTCTGGGGTGCATCGCAATAAAATGTTGCAAGTAGAAATGTAATGAGTGTCAAACTTACAAATCTGAGCTTTTATGCATCCTGATGTGTAAATTGACCACCGCTGGCCTAAAGTAATAACAGAGCTATTGTGGTGTTGGCAGATCCTGTATTCGTCTTCAGAGTACTGTGGCCCTATGGAGGCCCTTGAGTATTAAACTCATGCTGTATACAGAACCTAAACTTTTTTTAATTTTAGATTAAATGAAACTGTCGATTGTCAGCCTCTACTGCCCACTGATGTTTGACATTTAAATGCCAAGAGACAGGGCTTTTTTTAAGTGGGGATGGGGGCTTGAGCTTGACTTTTATGTCGGGACCCTGTGTATAGTCTGTGTTCGGA